GTTACTGTGCTGCCTGTCCTGGGTATCAGGGGCTGTCACTGGTCCCTAGGTGCTAACTTCTCTCCTGTGCCCCAGAGTCTTAAAAGTCGCTCTGGGAAAAGGAAAAGATGCCGCTGTTCTTCCGGAAGCGGAAACCCAGTGAGGAGGCTCGGAAACGCCTGGAGTACCAGATGTGTCTGGTGAGGGGAAGTGGGTTTCCCCAACTCCTTCCCAGCTCCCCCTCTGCCCCATGCAGTAGGGTTCCACACTGCCATGCTCCCTGCCACCTGCCTCCCCTGCCCTCTGCCAAGTGCCCGTCCCCTTCTAGCTGAGTGCACTCATCGTTACTGGCTGGGTTGTCTCTCGTGCAGGACCTCAGACTCCAGGAAAGCAGAGGTCATTGGGTCATCACAGGATAGACTAGGGAACCAGCCATGCCTATGGTCCCTTGCTGCTCCTTACTTGTGCATTTCTTTGCTTTGTTTGTCCACGCGGATGTTTCGTTTGAACACTTAAAAAAATAAGTGCTCAGGGATGGGGGTGTAGCTCAGTGAGAGATTTCTTGCCTACCGTGCTCAAGGCCCCGGTTCCACCCCCAGAACCATGCAATAAATAAACCAATATTCTTTTGCTCCTCAGGCAAAAGAAGCGGGAGCAGATGACATTCTCGACATCTCTAAATGCGAGCTCACAGAGGTAAACCGAGGGCTGGGGGGGGTGCTGTGAAATTGATTTTTCCTGTCTTCTTAGATCCAATGGCTCCAGGATTGATGGCTGTGGACTGGGGCTTTAAAAGAAATCCAGAAGAGGGGTGGAAGGGGGATGGGGATAAAAAAGAATCAAGTTATATCATGTACAGATACAAATTCCCCATGATGAATGTGATCACTATAGATACTAAAGCATACCAAGAAATCATTTTAAAAAGTTGAAAAAAAAAAAAGCCAGATGTACTAGTCACGAGATGTTTCCTTAGGTTATATTTTGTCTAAAGGACCTGGGATGAGCTTCTGTCCTCAACATAATCTCTGAGAGTCAAGGAGCCTTGTTAGAAAATGCACCCAGAAATTTCTGGGGTGCTGGAAGAGGGAGGGTTCTGCAGGCCCTGGCAGGGTCATGGTGGGGCGGGCAGAGCGCCCTCTTGGCAGCAGCTATTGAGGGCTGAGCCCGCGCCCTGCACCACTCCCCAGGCCTCCTGAATGGAGTGCGTTCCTGTGGGCCCTGGGCCCTCACTCAGCCCCTGCCCGTCTCTCACATCCGTGCACCGCAGAGAACAAACTTCAGACCAGCAGGAGACGAGGCTCTGATTCTTCTCTGTCTTCTCCTAGATTCCATTCGGGGCTTTTGCAACCTGCAAAGTTCTACAGAAGAAGGTGAGCTGGGCTCCATGTTCAGAGAGTTGCGTATCTAAAGCATGCAGGGGAGGCTGGGACTCTCTTTCTTTGGCTCTCACCCTGTCAGCCCACACCTGGTCTGCAGGACAGTGAGGACGGCAGGGGTGGGGACAGTCCTGTGTCCCTCTTGGCTCTGCCCTTCACTGGCTTTGTCGCCTTGGGCAACTTCCCTAACCAACATCTCAGTTTCTTTCTCTGGGAGATGAGGACATTCAGAGTTTATGCTCTCTGAGGTACTGGGACATTTCAGGAGCGACGGAGACGGAGGCATAGGATGTGGATCTGGCAGCAAATAGTTATGAACCGCAGTGTGGTGGTAACAGTGCTCTCGGGGAGGAGGGGGATGAGGGCTATTTCAGAAGGGTAGTGTGGCTCCTGCACCTCTGGGTGCCCTGGGTTCATGTACCCTAAGCAAAGCCTCCAGATGCAGATGGGTGAAAAGGATTCCATAGCAACAGTGTAGCGAGCTCCTCACCTGGGGACGTATTAAAGCAGCAGCCCACACCTACCAGGGTAATGATGGACCATGTGGGCGGAGTATCACACCATGTGCCAGCCTAGGCTGAGGCTGTGTCCACTGGCTTGTTTAATCTCAACAGAGGCAGACACCTTACCATTCTGTTTTTCAAGATCACACTGAAGAAGCTGGGGAAAGTTACACTCAGGACACCTGGGGAGGCATAACTGTGCACACCTGTCATCCCAACAGCTGGGAGGCTGTGGCAGGAGCTCCACTGCAAGTCTGAGGCCAGCCTGGGCTACATAGTGAGTTCAAGGCCAGCCTAAATGACATAGGGAGACCCTATCTTGGAAAAAAGTAGAAAGGCTGAACATTTCTCAGGATAAAAGATAGAATTAGACATCCAAAATCCTTTTCATCCTTGAAATTCTAGATATTAAAATCCTCAGATCATACATTCAGAAGTTGCATGATTTTCACAGCAGCCCCGTTGCATGTCTGGCCAGCAGAGATGAGAGATGCCCCGGGGGCACTGTGGGGCGCTGCCTCACCTCCAGCCTTCCTGTCTGCCTTCTTCTGCAGCCTAACCCTGTCTCTGTCCTTGCTGTGCAGGTGTTGATTGTGCATACAAACCAGCTCACCTTCCTGCTGCCCAAATCTTGCAGCCTCCTGAGCCTGGTGACCATCAAGGTACTGGGCCCCTCCGGTGGCAGGGATTCTGTGTGGCCTCTGGAGTGGCCACCAGGCCCCCACTGTCTTCTGGTATCCTCAGCCTGTGCTAGATGGGCCCAGATGGAAGCGTCCGTCTGGGATTGGATCAGCACCGTGTGCTAAGCACCTCTGCGTGCTGGGCATTGCTTGTAGGGTGACAAACATGAGCACACGGTGGCTTATGTGACAGGTGGAAAGGAAATCTGGAACTCATAACTGCCAAGATGTGCACAGCATGGGAATAGTGGTCCCAAGCAAGGACAGGAAGGTGCCCACGCAGCATGTGGCTAACAGGTAAACCCAGAGACATAGGAGGACTCTAACTTGACTGTTGGTCCCCTCAGGACAGGAGCCGGGCGTAGTCACTGTATGTGTAAGATGTCACCAGTGGAACTTTGTGAGAGTGGGGACAAGAGTACAGTTCCCAGCTCTCTGTGAGGAGCTCTGGCTGGTGGACGGCTTGGTTTTTAGAGTTTGGGGCGTTGTGGTGCTAGGGATGGAGAACGCAGGGCCTCACCCATGGCAGGCATGCACTTTACCCCTGAGGGACATTCCTAGCCCGTGTAGCACTTTTGCACTGAAAGAAAAGAGGACACTTAAAATATGTTTTTTTAGCCAGGTGTGGTGACAGCACTGTAATCCCAGCACACAGGAAGCTGAGACAGGAGGCCTACCTGGGCTACATGGTGAGTTCCCAGGCCAGCCTGAAATACATTATAAGACCCTGTCTGTTTTGTTTTGTGAAAAGGTTTTTCTATGTACTACAGGCTGGCCTTGAACTCATTTATATAGCCCAGGTTGGCCTCAAACTCATGGTGATCCTCTTGCCTCAGCCTTCCAAGTGATGGGTTTATAGGCATGCACCACCACTCCCAGTAAGACTGTCTTTAAAAAAAAGGAGGTACACACATATACATACATACATACATACATACATACATATATTTGTATGTATGTTCTGTGTATATATGTGCATGAATATATATGTATACATCTCCTATGTCTTTTGTATTTCTTTTCATTGTTTAAAAAGTACTAGAAAATGGCTAGATCTGTAATCACACTCTCAGAAGGCTGAGGCAGGAGACTCACAAGTTCAAACCCAGTCTGGACAATTTTGTGACTTAGGGAGAGGCTATCTAAACATCAAAAGAGCTGGGGATGTAGCTCATTACAGAGATGCTGGGTTCAATCCTAGTACTGAAAAAAGCAATTTTTTTCTGGCTTTTTGAATCAGGGTCTTGCCACACAGTTTAGGCTGGCCTTGAACTAACTACATAACCTAGGCTGTCTTCAGATTCACAGAGTCCTTCCTGCCTCAGCCTCTTGAGTGCTGGGATTATAGCTGTGCATCACCAGACTCAGCTCATTTTTCTTTTGAGCACATGGATACTGTATTTTGTTTAACAGTGAAAAATAAATATTTGATAACTAAAAGAAGGAAATGGTGTAACAGCCTGGGAAAGAAAGTGAGGTGGGAATGCTGGACATTTAGAGGGAGAGGAAGGGCAGGTGTGGGGGTGGGTCTTGGACGCTGGTGTGAATTGGCCCCTGTCACCTCCTGCTGCTGGTTGCCTGGAGCCCCAGGGGCTCCTCAGTGGGTGGCTCACAGGTGTCTTCCTGCTGCAGGTGCTGGATCTGCATAGCAATCAGCTGACGGCCCTTCCCGATGACATGGGGCAGCTGACAGCCCTGCAGGTGAGGTGTGGGACAGGGGACCCCACTCCTGGCAGGTGTTCCGGGGTGCTGTGTCCCGCCAGCAGACTCAGGCTGCACAGGGCCAGCCCCACCCTCCCGCTGCAGTCGGGGCCCTGCCACATTGCTGGCTTGTGCTTTTGGGGACTCATCACGAGCTCCTGCAGCTTCACAGTGAAAGGCACCCGTGACTCTGCATCTTAAGGCTGTCAGGCCCTGCACTGGCTCATGACTCTCTGCTTCCTGTTGGCAGCGGTCACTGCGCTGATGAAATGCCCACTCTGTGCCAGCTCTGAGCTAAGTCCGACAAGTGCCTTACAGTCACCCTGAGAAGCTGGTGTTAGAGTTGCCCACATTCTACAGCAAAGGACAGGCTCCTGTAGCATTTAGATTGAAAAGCCACCTCCTGCTCTAGGACTCAGGGAAGCCAGGTGTGATGGTGCACACTTGGGAAGCTGAGGCAGGAGGATCAGCATAAATCCAAGGCCAGCCTGGGCTACATAGAAAGCTCAAGGCCAGCCAACTACAGAGCAAGACTCTGTCTCAAAAAGACAAAAACAGAAAAAGCCACTAGGACACAGAAGACCCCTGTACACTGGCTGTGGCGGGGACACCAGCTTTGCAGGTACCAGGCCCTGTATTCCATCCTGACACCAAAAAGGAAAAAAAAACAAGATCCCATGTGGTAGCTCTGTGATCACCTCCCAAAGCCTTCTGTGCTCAGTCCCTGCCTGGCGAGGCCTCTCCTTACAGCTCTCTCTTCTGCTAGGGTGACTTCCTGGGGCTGTGGAGGGGGGCTCCTTCACCCCTAGCCCAGCTGTCCCTGGGAATCCTCCGTCTTCCCTAAGCGGACCCCCTTACGCGCCTCTCTCTCCACCTTGCTTATTTCCCAGGAGGTCTAACTGTGGTTCACAGTTGTTCCTTGGGCAGGGGGAAGAAGCAGGCTTTCGCTGTGTAACAGAGCAGGCCTTGAACTCACTTAGTAGCCCAGGCTGGCCTTGAATGTGCAGCAGTTCTCCTGCCTCAGCCTCCTGACTGCTGAATACAGGCATGCGCCATCACACCAGAGAGATGCTATCACATTTTACAAAAAACAGAGGGCCAGAAAGATACCACTGTCGCCTGCCCAAGGTCACATGGAGACCAGAGCAATAGTGACTGTCCCCATTTTGAGCCACATACATAACTTGGTATGGAATCTCGGGGGACGTTGTAAACATAGGCCTGTGTTTCTAGAGTTGCTGCCTTTGCGGATATCTGTCAGTAAGTTGTAACATCCTTTGGTTCATCAAATATTTATCTGCATCAAATATTTATCCGAATATTTAAATGTTCAGTGGCCACTTAGCTTCCCTTTGTATCAATTTTTAATGGCTGCTCAGTGTGGTTTCCTGCCCTCCCCAGTCCCTCAGTCCTCAGTCCCCAAGGTCATGACCTTGGGGCTCCTTTCTGCCCGAGCCAGAGCCTGAGTGCACTGCCTGCCCAGCCCCTGGCCCTGCTGGCCCCTTCTTCCTCTTCATCTTTCAAATGGGATCATAACAAGCTGGACCTTCTTCTATCGGGGGTGCTGGGGCATCCCTGTAATTCCAGCACTCTGGGAGGCTGAGGCAAGAGGATCACAAGTTTGGCCCAGCCTAGGCAACTTAGTGAGCTATGAAGACCCTGTCTCATGATAAAACACAAAAAGGGCTGGGAATGTAGCCCAGTGCAAAGGCCCTGTGTTTGATGATCCCCAATCTGTCCCTCCCTTGCAGGGCTCACAGGAAGAAGAAAGGCTGCTGCGTGCAGTGCCCAGGGGGCACTGGCCCTGGAGCAGCAGGGAGGGAGCTTCGGAGTCACTGCTGTCTGTGTGTGGCCTCTCGTGTCATCTCTTGTTCTTTCCTAGGTGTTGAATGTGGAAAGAAACCAACTGACATATCTGCCTCGTTCCATTGGGAACCTGGCCCAGCTCCAGACCCTCAACGTGAAAGGTAGGCAGCCAGGGTGCCCTGTCCTCATGACCCTGGCGAGCTCTGGACTGTCCCAGTCCTTCCCTTAGGGTGCCCTGCCTGGGAGCCATCAGTGTGTCTCCATGGTAACCAGGATTCCTGGTAGCCCTTGGCAGGGCGGGGGGCATTGGCAGTCACAGCCAGGCTGAGACTTGGTCACTCAGGTCCATGACCTCAAATGGACTGGCAGGGCAAGAACCATGGCGGGGCTCAGCAGTCACCCTGAGTGTCACATGCAGCGACAGGCACCTGCATGTCGGTGAGCAGCCAGCGGCCAGGCATAGCAGGGTTGTCCCCAGCTTACAGATGCAGAAACCAGGGCCCAGGGAGCCAAGTTGGTTGTCCAGAGTCATCCAGCAGCAGCTGCCTGTTCCTAGTCCCCAAGTCCTGGAGATATTGGACAGGAAATGGGGCCAGGTTTGGGGGCACTGAGCTCTCCATTGGGGTCTCTCCAGACAATAAGCTGAAGGAGCTGCCCGACACCCTGGGGGAGCTCCAAAGCCTGCGCACCCTGGACATCAGTGAAAATGGGATTAAGAGGCTGCCGCAGATGCTGGCTCACGTCCGGACGCTGGAGGTCAGTGGGGCTCTCTGAACACCCCCATTTCTCATGGGGTGCTCACTCCCCAGGCCTCCGAGGTATAGTGCTTAGGAGCGTGCAGAGAGACCAGGGCGTGACCACATGCAGCCATGTCACTGTGACTGCCACACATCTAGAAGGAGGAGAATGGTGCCAAGATGGTGCTTAATGAAAGTTGTGGCCCATGGTCTGCGCACTGTAATCCCAGCACCCAGGAGGCTGAGGCAGGAGGACTGCTGAGTTCAAGGCCAGGCTGAACTACATTACAGCCCTGTCTCAAAACACATGGCGGGGGGGAGGAAGAAAAATGAGAGAGAGAAAGAACAGGATAACAGCTATTCTAGACTAGGGCCTCACCTGTCTCCAAACACAGGTACGTCCCAAGATATGAAGCTTAGGACTTCAGCATCTGAAATTAGGGAACAGCTCATGTCAGATTCTGGCATGGGCCGGCCCCGGGGACAGTGGACTGTCAGAGTCACGGCCGAGGGGGCTTCACATTTAGCTGGCACTCCACGGCCAGCCACTGAGTCTTCCCCCAAGTCCTGTGAGGGAAACACTGTCATGCCACTTTACAGATGAAGAAACTGAGGCACAGGCAGTTCATGGAGCTTGCATAAGGCCACAAGCTAGTCAGCGAGAGTGAGGCCGCAGACGAGCCCACCTGGACCCCATGTCCATGCTGTTCATTCTGCACACGTCCGTCTCCCTGGCAGTGAGGACAGGCTGGCCTGGGGCTCCAGAGCTCAATCCCGTCAGTGGTTTCCTGTCACAACCTGACTGCTGAGTGTGACGTCAGAGCTGGCAATGAGCAGAGGCTGGCCCAGGCACGTGGCCAGCCTTGTCTTCCAGCCGAGCACCAGTGCTGGGGGTCCCCCAGGCCCAAGCAGGTTCGTCTTCCTGGGCTGTCCACAGGAAGTCCTGTGGTGATGGGGATGTTCCATGACTGTGCTGTCCCAGTTGGTGGCCACAATGGTAGCCTGAAATTGCCTAATGTGACCAAGGAACTAAGTGATTTTCTTGAATTTTAGTGAATCTATAGTGGAACAGCCATATGTGCTAAGCAGCTGCCATGTTAGACAACGTGGTCCTAATCCTTTTGATTTTTTTTTTTTTTTCCGGTACCAGGGATCGAACTCACGACTGCCTGCTTGCAGGGCATGTGCTTATGCCGCTGAGCTAAATCCCCAGCCCAGTCCTTTTGATTTTTGAGATACGGTGCTTCACACTCACAGAGATCCTCCTGCCTCAGCCTCCTGAGTGCTGGGATTACAGGTGTGAGCCACACCACATCCAGCCACACACTTTCCTGATGCTGAAGCTACCCTCAGATGTTTAGTAGGTGCTCTGAGAGGGGGGTGCAGCTCAGTGGTAGAGCACAGTCCTGGCATGTTCCACCCCAGCTCTACAAGAAGGCCAGTAAGCTGTTCATTTCATAACCAGGAACTCATGGCCATCCTCCTGCCTCAGCCTCCTGGAGAGCTGGGATTACAGGTACATGGCACCATGCCCAGCAGCACTACTTACACGAGGGCCTGCCCGAGGAAGGCTGCCCACACCAAGGCAGCCAGGAAGGAGAGAAGAGTGGAGGATCGGGGAGGGCAATTCACCCTCCCGGGTCATCCTTAGTGACCGCCCTACGCTTCCCCACCCCCAACCACACCCTCGGCTTGGATTAATCCTCTGCACCCCATAATCCAGTCCCCTAGAAACACAGTCTGAAAGCAGGCATATGGTGCACGCCTGTAATGCTGGCGTTATGGAGGCTGTGGCAGGCAGATTTCTGTGAGGCCCAGGCTACATAGTGAGGCCCTATCTTGACTTCTTTTTTTTTTTTTTTTTTTTTGTATCAGGGATTAAACTTAGGACCTTGTATTTGCCAGGCAGGTGCTATATCCCTGGTCCAGTTGAAAGCCTTATCTTGAAAAAAACCCAAACGTAAAACTTAATAATACCCCACCTCTGAATATGTGAGGCCTTGAGCGACACCCCAGGTCTCAGCTGGAACACTGTGACACTGTGTGTGACACTGACCTGCCCAAGGACACACAGCGGGCCATGCTGGGCTGGGATTGGGATGACGTTAGAGCAGCAGTATCCAACGCCACTTCCATGGAAACAGTTGGTCCTCTGTTAGGAACCATGGGCCACCTGGGCCACCACGCACTTGAGGTGTGTCGGTGTGACCAAATCCACCTTGGCCTCGGCTTCCTGAGCTGGGTGTCTGCCCTCAGGTCCCCCCCCCCCCAGCAGGTGCACTTCACCTCCAGATTTTTCTGTGTCTAATTACACACCTGCAGTCAGGCTCGTGCTGCGCTCCCTGAGTTTCTTTCACACATCACAATTTGCCCAAATACCCTGGCTGGGCGCTTGCCACCTGCCTGCTGTGTGCCCCAGAGCTAGGGCTGGGGAGCAGGCCATAGTACCCACACGAGTCAGGTGGGGCCATTCTGATCATGTCACCCCCCACTGTGACCCTCGAGGTAAAGGGCCCCTGTGTCTGCAGACGCTGAGCCTTGACGCCCTGGCCATGGTTTTCCCGCCGCCGGAGGTGTGCAGCAATGGCACTGCAGCCATCCAGCAGTTCCTCTGCAAAGGTAATGGCAGACCGCCACCTCTGAAGGCCACCCTGGGCCAGCCTGGCTGCTCAGGGAACGGGCACCGTGGGCTATCAAATGGGGAAACAGTCACAGGTGGGGCCCAGGGTGTGGCTCACCTCCACAGGTCAGACATTGGCATGCAGGGGTCCTGACCCCATGGGGCTTTCGGCACACACGCAAGAGTCACATGTGTCCTCAGATTCACGGCAAAAGTGCCCCACAGCAGAGGAGCAGAAGTGGACAGTTGCTTTTTTTTTTTTCATATGAGGATCGAACTCATGACCTCAAGCTTGCCAGACAGGCGCTTGTGCTACTGACCTAAATCCCCAGCCCGACAGTTACTTTAATACAGAAACAATTCTGTAGTGGGTGGATCTCCTAAAGATGCCATTTAAGGACATGAAGGACATTTGCAGGACACATATATGCTGTCAAGAGACGTGCCTAGGAATCTTACATGAGAGAATGTCCTGATGGCCTGTAGTATTTGAAAATAGAGCTGCGTATCATTTTAATCAACAGGAAAAGACTAAAACTGAAAAGCCAGGCATGGTGGCACATGCCTATAATCCCAGCATTCAGGAGGCTGAGCAGGAGGATCATTGGGATTTCCAGCCCACCCCAGGCTACATAGTGAGCGCTAAACCACCCTATCTAAGTAGTAAAATCCTGTCCCATCACTCCCCTCAAAAAAAAAAAAAAAAAATCCTGCGAAGAAATACTTTGCACACCCACCAAAATGACCCAAATTGAACTATAATACCAAGAATTAGCAAAGAAGAGGAAGCAACAGGAACTTGAAAAGCTTAGCTTCCAATAGGTGTGCAGCCCATGGCTGTGATACCAGCCCTTAGGAGGCTGAGGCAGGAAACTCACTCAAGTCCTGGAGTTCAGGACCAGTGTGGGCAACCTCGAGAGACTCATCTCAGAAAATAATACTGGGGGCTGGGGATTTAGCTCAGTGGCTAATACTGGTCAGAACTCTGCCTGAGGTGAACCTGTGCTGAGCTACGTACCCAGCAGGAAGGTGTGGGGTCACAAGCCCTCTGTTCCCGTTCCCCTGAGGAATATCATCAAGGACAGCCTGGCTAACTTGGGAGGCTGAGGCAGGAGGGTTGCCACAAGTTCGAGACCAGACTGGGCCACCAAGTGAAACTTTGTCTCAAAAACCCACACACATACACCCCGAGCCTGCTGGTCTGGGCCTTGGGCGTGGCTCCTTGGTAAGCGCTCCTACTGCATCTCCAGCCCTGCACACACACACAAAGGGTCTGAGGATCAAATCCACTATGCTGATGAACAGCAGAGCCTATTATAGTAATGTCATTTACCTGGGTATTTTAACAGCGTCTCACTTTAGGATTTCTTACGAACGGCTTGTTTGCAACCTTCCAAGGGGCAGGGCAGGTGACTTCCATCAACATGGAAGGAGGCAGTTACAATACACACTGCAGAGCCCAGGTCCTGGTGCTTTCACACTGACAGTAAACACAGTGCAACCAGAAACATCAGGGGTGGGACACAGTTGGCACCTCCGGCCTGGCTTCATGCCCAGAGGAAGCTGTGGGGACGACCGGACCCCACAACCACACCTCTGGGCTGACCTGGCCTTTTCTGTTCCCGTCCTCGTCTGGATGCTCAAGGCTGAGCCTGACATTGCCTGTCCCCACGCCTGGGAGAGAACAGTGACTTGACAGAGGGCCTGGTGTAGGGAGGAGGAGAGCAGCAGGCTAGGCAGCTCTGGGTCCCTGCTGCCACCGTGTGTCCCATTCCTGCAGAGTCTGGGCTGGAGTACTACCCCCCCTCTCAGTACCTGCTGCCAGTGCTGGAGCAAGATGGAGCGGACAGTGTGCGGGACAGCCCCGACAGACCCCCAGACAGGTTCTCGAGGGAGGAGGCCGAGTGGCAGGTAAGGCGAGCCTGCCTGGTGGCACACACGTGTCCATCTGTCTGTCTGTCTGTGCATGTGTCAGAGATTCCTCCACACTCCGGATCCCACCCCGCTCAGGCCCACAGGCTCAGCCTGGTTTCCAAGGCCTCCCCTGGCTCGCTCCCTCACCAGCCTTCCCCTCTGGGGCTCCATGGAAACCCCGAGTCCTCTGAGAGGCTCCAGGCCCCTTGGGCCCTCAGTGACCCCTCCTGGGCGTGCACTGCTTGTCTTCCGTAGCACTGAACACAGTGCCGATGCAAAGGTAGGCGGAAACTCCAGAGCCACACCCAGAGGTTGGCAGCAGATTTATTTTATGTGCATGGGTGCTGATTGGGATCAGTCCCAAAATACCGGGCCCTGATCTCGGGTGGTCTTGGGCTTATGTGGGGTAAGCAAGCAGGAAGCACAGAGGCAGAATGGCTTGTTAGTGGGGGACTGGTTTTTACAGCGTGCATCTCAGTGATCAGCTGTTTCTAAGGGACAAAAGCAACTGGAACAGGAGCTGTTACCTGGGCAACCTGGCTGGGGCCTCTCCTGCCCATGATGGGTTACAGGTGGATCGGTCCATGATGGTCAGCGGGAGCAGCACAGCTGCCTGTGCTGCCTTCCTCTGTGTCCTGGCCAAGGCTCACAATCCAGGGGCCTCCGACAGCCAGGGGAAGAGACAGGGTAACAGTCACAGGGAGCACCAGCCACCTGTGTGTTTGACCTTTTGTCTTTCAGTGAGTTCTTTTTTTGTTTTTGAGACAGGGTCTCTCTATTTTTTAAAATATTTGTTTATTTATTTAGGTACTGGGGATTGAACCCATGACCTTGCACTTGCCAGGCAGGCGCTTATGCCACAAACCTAAATCCCTAGCCGGAGATAGGGGAAAGGCCTCTAGCTCAGGCTGGCCTCTCAACTCTGAAGTCCTCCTACCTCAGCTTCCTGGTGCTGGGATTACACTTATATTTGCCCTTCCACACCTGGCTTCTTGGTTTTCTTTTCGGAGCCCCAGGGCTGCCCTGTGCTAGCTCTCAGTACAGTCTGGGCCCCCAGTGCCCAGCCGTGTGTTCTTATCCTGGGATCCCCCGGAACCCCCTCCTTTCCAGGCCACTGACCCACGTCCTGCTGTGATGCAGCAGTTGGGGTGGGCAGGGAGCCAGGGTACTGGGGACTCTGGAGCATGTGCCAGTGAGAGCCATGCTGCCCAGTACCCTGACTGGTGTCTGTCTCTCCTTCCCCAGAATAAGTTCTCCGACTACGAGAAGCGGAAGGTAAGAAAGCGCCTCCCCCTCCCTGGCTCCTACCTGCTGGTGTCCGCGGCCCAGCCTCGGCTCATCAAGCTCTGCCTCTCCGCAGGAGCAGAAGATGCTAGAGAAACTGGAGTTTGAGCGGCGCCTGGAGCTGGGGCAGCGGCAACACGCGCAGCTGCTGCGCCAGAGCCACATCCAGAAGGATGAGGTCCTGCAGACGCTCCGGGAGGTGCGTCTGCCTGTGGCCAAGGGGAAGGGAGAGCCGGATCCGGCCACCTGCAGACCTGCACCGTGTGGCCTGGGCCTGGGCAGGCAAGGATCCGTGAGCCCCAGCATCCTGTCCCGCCGCTCTGACCCCGCCTTCTGCCACAGGAGCAATCCCGGCTGGAGCAGGGCCTGAGCGAGCACCAGCGCTACCTGGACGGCGAGCGGCAGCGGCTGCTGCAGCAGCTGAAAGAGGCCGAGCAGAGCGTCACCGGCCGGATCCAGAAGCTGCTGCAGGAGAATCGGAGGTCAGTGCCCAGCAAGGCCCGGCCCGCGGGAGGCTCTTCCCGGGCCCACATGGAGGCCGCCACCTCTGTCTCCCCGGCCACCTCTGGACTACTGGAGATCACTGACCCAATATCCCCTTGCCTGTAGTCAGCCCTTCACCCTAGAATGATATTGAGCTTAACAAATTCTGTCCTAAGCGGGTCCTGATGAGACGGGGGAGGAAGGGGTCACAAGAAGGAAGAGATCTCAAGAAGCCTGAGGTCTCTGAGGGAGGGTCTCTCAGCTCTCTCATTGGGAGATTTCAGAAACAGGCAATTGTTCCATCCCCTGCTGCTTCACGCTGCCTTCTTTCTGTCCCTGGGTCACCAGATCCTCTGTCACCTGTCAGTTACAGAGCGCCTGACTGAGTTTAGGACAAGGACCATCTCTTAGGTGCTGTTTTTGTTTTTGAGACAGGGCCTTGCTATGTAACCCAGGCTGACCTTGAACACGCAGCAATCTTCCCGCCTCAGCCTCCCGAGTGCTGGGATTACAGGGCTGCACTACCATAGCCCAGCTGAGTGCTATTGTGCCAAACCCCTTGTGTAGATTTTCTTGGTCACTCTTTACATATGACCCACACGGTTTGTTCACTTGTTTACTTTTATCTCCGTATTATGGGTGTTTTGTTTTGTTCTTTTTGAGACAGGGTCTTGCTGTGCAGTTCAGGTTAGCCTTGGCTCACTTTGTAGCCCAGGCTGGTCTCGAACTTGCAGTGATCCTCTTGCCTCAGCCTTCTGAGTGCTGGGATTACTAACATGTACCACCATGCCCAGGTTCGTGGTTTTTTGTTTTTGGTACAAAAAATCAAATTCATGACTATGTGCTTGCAAAGCAGGCACTTATGCCATTGAGCTAAATCCACAGCCCTTCATGGGTTACTTTTATACCCATTCATGGTTGAAGAAACCTGGGTCTTGGAGTGGCGTAGTGGCCAGAGGAGATGGACTCCCAGGCCATCCCCAGTGTCCCCGCCCGGCCACGGTCAGCGCAGTGAGGTGAGTGGCTGTGCTGCTCCCAGGTGACCCAGGGACCTTCTCTGGTTTTCTCCTCAGGCAAAAACAAAGTTCTGAGATTCTGAAGTCGTTGGAAAATGAACGGTAAGAATCCTTCAGAGGGAGCGGTTTGGGGAGCCTGGCTGCCACTCTTCTGAGGGGTGCACCAGGAGGTTGCCCAGAAGTCCCCTTAGAGAGCATTGAGGCGGAAAGAACCAGGCTTCCAGGCTGCAATGCAGTGCACTCCAGAAAGAAATCAGTGTGAGTGAGGCTCGATGGACCATGTAGATTATTGCTTGTATAAAAAGTTGGAAAAAATGGTCGCGCATGGCAGCGTACTGTGATTTCAGCACTTGTGAGGCTGAGACGGGAGGGTTGCCACAAGCTAGAGGTCAGCCTGGGCTACATAGTGAGACTCTGTTAAAGAAAAAGATAGGAAAACCTCACATTTATGGAAAGAAAAATAATGTAATACATTTATGCCTTGGAATCTGAAGGGGATTCCTGAGGTTATTAAACCCAGATGTTCAAGTCCTTTAAGTAAAAAACAGGAAAGTGTTTGTACATAACCTACATATATCCTCCTGTAGATGCAAAACCACCTCCAGGTTTCCTGTTTTGTTTTTGAGACAGGGTCTCACTATGTAGCCCAGGCTGGCCTCAAACTCAAAGTGATTGTCCTGTCTCAGCCTCTTGAGTACTGGGGTTATAGGGATAAATTTCTGGTTATAATCACAGATATATTTACATGGCAGAACAAACTCATTATTTGTAATAGCCAGAAAGCAGTGCACGGTGTAATTTTCTCGTAACATTTTTTAAGTAGGCCTGTATCAGTAAAGTCTTTTGTAATTATAAAGATGTCAGTGTGTGGCCCCTGAATGTACCCTGATGGTTATGTGATTTTTTTTTTTTTAATACTAGGGAATTGAAGCCAAGGCCTTTGCATTGAGCTGCATCTGCAACCCATTAAAAGAAATTTTTTTTTTTTTGACAGAGTCTTTCTAAATCACTAAATTGCCCAGGTTATGCTCAAGACTTCAGATCCTCCTGCCTCAGCCTCCCAGATTGCTGTGATTATAGATGTATATCACTACACTAAACTTATATGATTTTTTTTTTCATTTTGTTTTTTGTTTTTTGAGATAGGGTCTTGCTCTGCAGTTCAGGCTGGCCTTGAACTTACTTTGTAGCCGAGGCTGACCTCAAACTTAGCCATCCTCCTGCCTCAGCCTTCTGAGTGCTAGGATTACAGGCATGGGACACCATGTCCTGCTTCTGTGACTCTTTTTGAGGGAAGTTTGCAAAGGACATGAAGGAGAGGAACTAACACATCTTCCAAAACACATGGTCATCGCCAACAGGCAGGGGACGAGAGAGCTGACTTCCTTCGGTTGCCAGTGCTGTGGCACCTTCCCATTTGCCTGTGGGGACCCTGTCGGTGCTTGGCTCTTGGTGTCCTTGGGCAATTCCTAAGGGACCTTCATCCTTTCAGGAATGGTGGCGTCCCACACCAAGGTTTACGGGGTCCCCAGGGTGGCTCTCCGGAGGCCTTGTGGGGAGAGGCGGCGGCCAGCCGGTGGGCACAGTGTGTGCTGATGAACCGGGGGAATTTTCTCCTAGAATAAGAATGGAGCAGCTGATGGCCATCACCCAGGAGGAGACAGAGAACCTGCGGCGGCGGGAGATCGCCTGTGAGTCTCAGGATGGGGAGGACGCAAGCCCTGTAAGAACAGGCGGGGGGCGGGTAACAGCCTCTCTGATGGGCACACGTGGAGGGCACTGTATTAGCCCTGGAGGGGGTGACCATGTCCTGTGGAGGAGCCCGGGCTTCCAGTCAGGTAAAGCTTGGCCTCAGAGTCCCAGTGAGGACTGCAGCCCGAGGTCCCTGGGACATCACAATCTCTCCCTTTCCTGAGCCTCAGTGTTCTTACCTATATAATCAGGAAGCTGGGCATGGTGGCGCACATCTGTAATCCCTGCACTTGGGGAGGCTGAGGCAGGAGGATCCCTGTGAGTTCAAGGCCAGCCTGGGCTGCATAATGAGTTCAAGGCCAGCCTGAACCGCATAGGGAGACCCTGTGTGAAAACAGACAAACCAGCAGATGTTCACACAGGTGTTTGAGCAAGAACATTCATTGAAGTGTCATGTAGTAAGTTTTCAAAAAGTCCAAATCCTCAGCATAGATTATCTATGCAGGTGTTGGTTATTTGGTACCATTGTTGTCACATCATCCTGCCGACAAGGGCAATGTTCATAAAAAGGGACGGGAACAGTGTTTAGTTTGATACATGTTAATTTCTCTTAATGCCCATTGATTGTTTTTCATTTTCAAGACAGGGCCCTGCTGTCTTATCACATAGCCAGCAGGCCTCAAACTCGAGACCTTCCCACCTCTGCCTTCCCAGTACTGAGATTCATAGGCTTACACCTCCCCATATGGCCACCCCCAGCCTTTATATTTATTTTGAGCACACCCAGTGAATTTCTGCTTTCGGTTCTCTCATTTTAATCTTTGAAAACCCATAAATGTGTATAAAAGTGGACTGGAAGAATACTTACCGAAACGTGGAATTTCTGGGTGACGCCGCTGTAGAAGACCTTGTGTCTGCTGTTCGATGCTTAGGGTTGTCAGCCTTCCAAGCTCAGGTCGATTTTGTCTTTAGAAGTCATGATTTTTAGCTGGGTTTAGTGGTTCATTCCTATAATCCCAACGTTCGAGAGGCTGAGGCAGGAGAATCGCTGTGAGTCCGAGGCCAGCTGCCATTTCTTTAAGGGTGACTGTCAGGCAGATGAGGGCGGAGCTTGGGGCCTGTCCTGGGTCCAGGGAGCTGCTGCCCCATTCTCAGCACCCTCACCCCGCACCCCGCACCCCGCACCCCTGTCCTCAGCCGCCATGCAGCAGATGCTGACTGAGAGCTGCAAAAGCCGGCTGGTCCAGATGGCCTACGAGTCCCAGAGGCAGAGCCTGGTCCGGCAGGCCTGTTCCAGGTAAGGTAAGGAAGACTAGTCCCAGGCGAGGGCTTGAGGGTGCTGGTGTGGGCTGTGGACGGATGAGAGCCAGGAGCCAGAATCTCCTTCTTGAGCCACCTCAGCCTTGGCCACATTGTAGGGACAAGAGGTGCCCAGCCTTCCTCATGGAGGCGGATATGGGGATCGAACCCTGGGCCTTCCCACTGAGCTACGTCCCCAGCCACTTTTTACTTTGAGACAGGATCTCACTAAGTCACTGATACCTGCCCAGTCTGGGCTCAAACTTGTGATCCTCCTGCCTCAGCTTTCCAAGGTGCTGCAGTTACTGATAGTGAAACCCTGACAGCTTCCTTGAGACTTAAATTTTTCTTATCAGAAAATTCTGCTAGCTACCTAGACAAGTGTTAGTGCATCTGATGAGCATAACCCTACCACTTCAGGCCCAACAAACAACTACTAGCTGGAAACAAAAGCAAGACTATACCAGGATCACAGGTTTGTTCCAGAATCCACAGCTTTCTCCTGGACAGCTGAGCACAGTCACAGCCAGGGTGACGGTGCCCCTGTCCCAGCCAGCTGAGGGGCTCACAGTTCAAGAGCATTTCCTCCGTGCAGTCACTGTGTAACTCAGGTTGCCTTGAGCTCCTCCTGCCTCAGCCTCCTTTGAGAGCTGGGATCACAGGCTCGTGCCACCAGCCTGGCTCCCGTCATCACTGTTGAATGAATACACGGTCATGTGCTCTTCTCCAAGGCAGCCGCATACAGTGGGGCTCATGGTGTATGCAGCATATGTGAACTTACTATCTCCCTGCAGCATGGCTGAGATGGACGAGCGGTTCCAGCAGATCCTGTCATGGCAGCAGATGGACCAGAACAAAGCCATCACTCAGATCCTACAGGAGGTGAGCCCTACCCTTGGCAGCACAGTGGCCCAGGTGGCTTCCCGATGTTAGGCCACTGGGGCCAGAGGGCAGAGAGAGCATGAAGGGCCCTGGTCACAGAATCTACCCTGCTTGGGGCTCCTGCCCTCTGCCCTCTGCCAGCTTCCTCCCGAGCCTATACCGTGCAGATACCCAAGAGAGCCTGGAGTAGCTATATCCGGGACCTTGGTGATCCCTTCGATTCTTTGGGTTTCACTGCCTGGTTCAGGCTGGACTTGAACTCACTCTGTAGCCCAGGCTGCTCTTAACTCACAGGTCTCTCACTTAAGGCATTTTTCAGGGAGATCTTGTTTCCCCAGCTGGCCTGAGGGAAAAGCCACAGAGGGGACATGCACTGAGTGACCAGATGTGATCTCTATTTCAGAGCTCGATGCAGAAGGCGGCCTTCGAGGCCCTGCAGGTGAAGAAGGACCGAATGCATCGGCAGATCAGAAACCAGGTGAGTGACGGGGAGGCCCTGGACCTGGCGAGGCAGCAGCCGGTGAGGCTGGAATCCTCGCGCCATACTCTGCTTGCCGGGTTGCTGGTGGCTCCTGCCTGCCCAGCCAGAGTCCCACCCAGCAAGTGTGGCCCGTGCTCACTGTTTCCTCAACACCAGGGTTGGGGACCGGGCAGTGCTGCTGTGTGGTGACTGTCCAGCAGGACTCCCTCCCTGGCCAACTCAGCCCTGAGTCCACAGCAGCTCAGGCTGGACAGCAGCTTCTCGGGCAGATTGGATCCCACCGGGGTGGGCAGGGACCACCCAGCACCTCTGTGGGTCCTGACATCTGCCACAGGGCAACGTCGGCCTGGGAGGAGGGGCCATGCTCCTGTCCAGACCCTGCTGTGGCCTCGGGGCCAGGGCAGGCCAAATGCTGGGCCTCAGGAGCTGCCTGTGTCACTTGGGGCCAGTGGTTGGAGGCAGCACGGGCTTTCAGGCTCATGGCATTGTATCCTGCACACTGTGAATTCCACATTGTTGCATGGTTTTTTGGTTTCTTTATTCTTTTCTTGTTTGACCAATTTGCCTTTTTATTTCCCTCTTTAATTTCAATCCTACCTTGCCAGACATGAAGCTCATTCCTCTGACCAGGGGTTGATAGGGTCAGAGGGACTCAGGGACAGAAGAAGGTCGTGGGAAGCGGGTGGACACCCTGAGAGTGAGCGCCGACCCCCTAGATCAGCTCTTACCTTTTGCATCTGGAGCTGGGGTTTCCATGGAGACTCTCTCCCTTCCCTCCTCTGCATCCTCCCTCAAGTCCCTTCACCTCTGTGAGCCTCAGTTTCCCTGTCTGTACGGTGGAGGCAGTGATGCCTCCTAAACCCAGTGAGAGAACTGCTGAAAGGATGCAGGTAGAGCTGAGTGTGGTGGTACTCACCATAACCCCAGCATATAGGGGGCTGAGGCAGGAGGATTGCCTTGAGAGCTCAAGGCCAGTCTGAGCTATGTAGTGAGATCATCACAGGTCCAGCACTCTGTAGGTGCTCAATAAAACCCACTGCTGCCAGTAATACTCAGTTCTTTTCATCACCCTCTGCTGCCTGAGACAGCTCCCTAGAGCTAGCATGGGAATCTGGCAGGCAGCAGCTCCGTGGTAACCCTGGGACTGTCCCTCACTGCCCCAGGCCCTCGACAGGGACCTCTCTTTATTCCATGCATTTTCCCCAGAAAGCTTTCTTAGGCCCCACCTAGCTGTCAGAAGGCAGCAGCACAGAATGGAACCACGGTCAATGTGAATAAATCCCCCGTCTCCTCTTCTGTTTAGATTAGGTTAATAGAAACTGAGTTATTGCAGCTGACACAGCTGGAGTTAAAGAGGAAGTCCCTGGACACTGAGACGCTGCAGGTACGTAGGGCTCCCTGGCTCCACCCACCCTTCCCACCCCAGGCCCACCACAACCGCTCAGGGCCCACCAGGGCCAGGCTCCCAGGTCATACAGACAGGGCCACCAGGCGCCAGTCCCCAAGAGGCCGGTGCTAGGGAGAGGGTCAGAGGAAGGAGGGCTTCACTGCCGAGGCCCCTTCTTCCTACCTGGTCACCCCTCCATCTCTCATCTCCTTTGTGGGGAGCACTGGCTGCCGAGCTCCGCCTCCTTCAGCCGTGCTTCTGGGCTGCTGGTTGGACCACAGGGCTGTCTGGAGGGGAAGGGCCGCAGCATCTCTGAGCAGGGTCCTGGTTACAGACACATGGGGATGGCAGTGTGGGCCTTGCTGTGTGGCCTTGGCAAGTGGACAGGGTGGTCCTCTTCCTTCCCTGGACCTCAGTCCCTGGATGCGTGCCAATGATGGGATGGCACTGCCGGGTGTGAGGATGGGTGTCTGCCAGGCTTGGAGCGGAGTTGCTGTCGTTGTCCCTGGATCTGTGTCCAGGGGACGGTGCTACGGCCTGGGCCATGCTGTCACACGTGCTGTGTGACCTCGGGTGTCACTTCCCTTCATGGGGGTACATGAAATCACAGAGCTGGTGTCATCAGACTGTCGGAAAAGGAGAGGTGACAGAGCCCATCAGTGAGCTGCAAACCAGTCTTCAGAGATGAAGGGTGGGGTCACCCAGAGGCTGCCGCCACCAGCCTGCTGTCAGGGTCTGGTGGGGTGAGAGAGCAGCAAGTGGCCCTGGTGGACTCCACCTGCATGGTGGCACCATCACCTGCCTGGGGCTCCCTCCCTACTGTGTGCTTCTGCCCATGTGCCCTGTGGTCACTGAGAGGCCCGCTTGTCATTTCTTTTGTTTGATGTTTCTCACCGCTCCATTGTCATCAGCCTACAGGGTCCCATGCCTGGCCTTTGGGGCCCACAGAGGGGAAGGGGGCAGGATGCTGAGGCAAAAGGGCCTCTGGGCCTTGTTCCCCAACTCAGCTTACAAGCAGGCACAGGCAGAGCTGAGTGAGAACCGAGCGAGCAAGCACCACCCTGGGCTCAGTCCTGCCAGTGCGCATGCGGACTCCGGTGCTGAAGCTCATGGCGGCCCCGGCCGGGTCTTGTGTTGCAGGAGGTGGTCGCGGAGCAGCGCTGGGCACTCAGCTCCCTGCTCCAGCAGCTGCTCAAAGAGAAGAAGCAGCGAGAAGAAGAACTCAGGGATCTCCTGGTACGTGCTCGGACCCTGGGCATGCGCGGGGTCCTCACAGGAATTTCACTTCTGAGTTTGCTGTTGTTAATGTTTTGGCGTGTGGTTTAAACACTGTCATGTCTATTTTTGAGTATTTGTATATCTCCTTTTTAACCCCCATAGTGAAGATCAAACCCAGGGCTGCTCTGCTGCTGAATTATATCCCGAGCCCTTCCTTTTTTTTTTTTTTTGGTGCTGGGAATTAACTTAGAACTTTTCACTTGCCAGGCAAGTACTTATCTGCTAAGCTATATCCCCAGTCCTACCTAGGTGCAGTCTGAACTTGTGATTTTCCTGCCTCAGCTTTCCTCAGTGCTGGGATTATAGGCGTATACCATCATGGTTGGCATACCCATGCCTTTTCTCTTTTCTGAATTAGTTAATTGTTTTTGTTTTTGGTACTAGGGATCGAACTCAGGACCTGATTCTTACCAAGCAAGCACTTGAGCCACTGAGCTAAATCCTTGGCCCTAATTGGTTTTTTTTAAGACATGGTCTCCCTTTATAGTTCAAGGCTGGCCTTGAACTCCTCATGTAGCTCAGGCTAGGCTAAAACTTGCAGAAATTCTCCTGCCTCAGCCTCCCTCAGTGCTGAGATTACAAATAGACACCACCATAGTTCGAATGTATGTGACTTTTCAATATAAAATGGTGTATACCTATCTGGGTGTGATGATGCCTGTCTCTAGTGCCAGCAGCTCTGGAAGCTGAGACAAGATGTTTTCTCGAGCTCTCAAAGTCAGGACCAGCCTGGGCAGCACAATGAGACCACATCTCAAAAAAAAAAGAAAATTTCCAGACATGGTGTCACAGGTTTATAATCCCAGCTACTCAGGCAGAAGGATCCAGAATAGCGAGTTTGAGGCCAGCTTGAGAACTGAGCAAGACCGTATCTCAACAGAAAACTTTATGGTGGGACATGCCTATAATCCCAGTACTTAGGAGGCTGAGGCAGGAGGATCACTGTGAGTTCAAGGCTAGCCTGGGCTACAAAGTGAGTTCATGGCCAGCCTGAACTGCACAGTGAAACCCTGTCTCAAAAAGACAAAAAAAAAGACAAAACAAAACAAAACAAAACACACTTTAAAAGGGCTGGGGATTTAGCTCAATCCTCCCAGCATTCAATCTGCATTACTACCACCCCCCAAAAAAAGAAGGAAAAAAGATTGGGACCATGGCTCACTGGTGGCACACTTGCCCAGTACACACCAGGCCCTTAGCAAGCCACCCTTTTCACCTCTGTGCAGTGTTTTTTCCATGGCCAGGCCTTGGTGCTGGACATGTACACTGCTGCAGGTGTGTCAGCCTTTGTAAGCAAGGCCCACTCAAGTGTCTCTGCTGAGGCTTTGGGAACAGCTGGAGAGGCTCCCTTAGGAGCCAGGTCTGTGTCCAGGGAAGGCCACCCACTCCACTTTTGGCAGGAGCAGCCCCACGCTCCCCTGTACCCAGCTGGTTTTGAACCTGGCACATCAGGGTGGCTGGGCCCCGCCCCCTCCGTGGGCATCTGCAGATGCAGGGACACCTGAGCCTCGAGTGTAGGGCCCAGGTCCACCTGCCAGGGAAAAGCCCGGGTCTCTCCTGTGACCTGGTGAATGCCCAAAACATCCCTAGTTCCATCTGGGGCCGGGATATGCAAGGTAAAAAGGGCAAGACCAGCCTCTTGCGAAGCCCCACACAGATGGCATGGCCTCGAGCTCCAGCCTGGGGGGAAGCAGCTCTTCAATGGAGGACAGGGTCATGGGCACAGGAAGGAGATGCATCTGCGGCAGAGGAGCAGGCAGATGCTCAACATGGTCCAGGAGGGACTGCCAAGGGCAGCTGAGTCTAGAGAGGCTGGGGTGATGGCAGCCCAGGTCCTGCCCCCGTGACCTACCCACTGCATCCTGCCCTGACCCTCCCATCCCAGCCAGGATCTCAGGGTCAGGAAGAGGAAATAAAGTGGCCCAGTTTGGAGCCCTGCGGTCTGAGGACCAATGGCAGCTGCCAGGATCACTGCTACCAGGGCTGGTGGTGTCCTTTGCTCCCTGCATCCCAGCCCTCCATCAGTATTTACTGATGGCCAAAGGCCGGGCTCATGGCCCCTGGCACAGTCACCATCCTTTAGCCTCATTCCAGAGCAAAGCCTGCTCAGAACGAGGGTGATCTGAGTGAGAACCTTGTTCTCCGCTGCCTGAGCTCTGGAGGACGAAGGTGGCTGCAGGCAGCTCTGCTGTCCCACAAGCAGTCAACCGCAGTCCTGCCCAGGCCTGGGGCATTCCCTGCCCAGGGGTATGGCTTGGGCAGCTCTGGGTTCTACCCTGAGGTCATGCTTGGCAGCATGGGCACCAGCCCGGTGTCTCAGTGAGGACCCTGAATGATGACCTCCTTGGTGACGCTGCGGAGCCAGGCATCCCTCAGAGGCACTGGCCACTGCCACCAGTTGCGATTTCCCAATATGTGACTGACATTGCCTGGTTCTGTCCCTGGCAGGCAGAGTTAGAAGCCAAAAGCGAGACCAAGCAGGAGAACTACTGGCTCATTCAGTACCAGCGACTCTTAAACCAGAAGCCATTGTCCTTGAGGCTGCAGGTGAGGACCTGGTACCCATCACTCTGGGTCATCTGCTTCATCTTCCCAAAGACCTGCATGCCAGGTCTGTGCAGGGACAGAAAGAATAGTGAGTGATGGGTGTGGCATGTGTGCTTGCACACGCTCTCCCTCCCTCCCCACACACCCACACACTCTTCAAATATATAATAAAAATTGAAGTTGGGGGAAGGATGGTGCACATCTGTAATTCCAGCACTCAGGAGGCTGAGGCAGGAAGATCACCATCAAAAGAAAACAAAAACCTCTCCCATGCCCTGTGTTGCGCATTTTGCTTCCACACCTTTAGTTTCCTCTGGGAAGCAGTCACTGAGGTCTGCTTTGCTTCCCCCGGAGTAGCCGTGACCTTCTCTGGGGTCCTTCTTGCAGGAGGAGGGCATGGAGCGCCAGCTGGTGGCCATCCTGGTGGAGCTGTCAGCCGAGCACTACCTACCTATCTTTGCCCACCACCGCATCTCCCTGGACATGCTGAGCCGGATGAGCCCTGGGGACCTGGCCAAGGTGGACCACGGCAGCCCCTGTGGGAAGCGAGGGTGCTAGCCTGGCCTTGGGGCAACTTGCTTTGCTTGAGGTTGTGGTGAGGCCTGGCATGACCCAGTGGCCCAAGGCCTCCTTGTGTCCAGTGGTCAGAAAACCTGCCCATCTGCTCCAGCCACCTCTGGTGTACCCTCCATTCCTAAGGATCCCAGGGATATGGGTCATGCTGAACCCACATATCCCCATTTGCTCAGATTGGGCCTTCAAACTGTAAGATCAGCTGGGCATGCTGGTGCATGCTGTAGCACTCAGGAGGCTGAGACAGGAGGATCTCCAAGAGTTTAAGGTCAGCCAGGGCTACACAGTAAGACCTTGTCCCCAAAAGATGAAAAACAAATTGCAGTATCAACACAGGTCCTGGGAATCATCTAGGCCAGCCCTTCTCCTGCCCCCCTCCCCATTTTTCGGTCACAGCCACAGTACTGACGCAGCCCTGGCTGTGCTTTGGGTCAGAATGAGCTCCCACTGAATTATGTCATTGACCCTTCAACACAGGATAGTGACAACACCCAGTGCCTGGCTCCATGCTGAGCTGCTTTTGCTCCCTGCTTCACTGAATGGTCCCAGCAGCTCCTGGAGGAAGGACCCACCTTCCCATCAGGCACTGTCCCGAGAGAACCAGGTCTCCGAGGGCCTAGGGGTCTCATGACCCTAAGCGTCTGGGCCTTGGCTGATGCCAGGGGTTGGGAGGAAGGCTGCGGGATGGGCCTGCCTTGCCTCTGCCTCAGTCTGCTCTCCTCTCCCCGGCACAGGTGGGCGTGTCGGAGGCCGGGCTGCAGCATGAGATCCTCCAGAAGGCCTGGGAGCTGCGGGACGTGGCCAGGACCCAGCCAGGTACCGACCCCGGGGCTGACCCTCAATGAGGGCCCAGCTGAATGTGGCGTTGCTCGCTGCTGGCTTCAGGGCAGAGCAACTCCTGGGAGCTGAGGGCTCCTCGTTGTGCCTCAGCCCATGAGTCACTGGATGGGCAGCCCCCTGGGCCGTGTGGCTCTGCCCTATGCACAGCCAGAGGCAGAAGCTCCGCCCCCAGTCGAGGGCTCCCATTCTGCGGCTCCACCGCTAGATGGCAGTGCGGCCCCAGGAGAGTGACCTCCCTCTCAAGAGCCTGGGATCCCTGGCAATGAAGTCAGGGATGAGCGGTCCCAGTCAGCAAGGACAGGCACCATCCCCGTCCTGAGATGGATTAGGACAGTGAGGCTGGGCAGAGGCAGGAAACCGAGTTCCTGGCTCCGTCTCTACAGCAGGCAGTGCCAGGGAATCTCCCAAGGGTTAAGAAAGTCGGGGATGCGCCTTGCATCAGCTCCTCTGGTCCCCACAGAGCTGAAACCCCCCAAAGGGGAGGTCGTGGAGACCCCGGAACCACCCACAGCGCCCCTGGAGCCTGCAGAGCTGGTGAGGCCATCCGCGCCCCCAGCGGAGCCAAAGGTGCAGATGTCGGAGTGCGTTGTGTGCCTGGAGCAAGAGGTAAGTGGGGTGACATGGGGCCTGGTGGGGGGCAGGGCCTGGCTACAGCCCGCACTTGCAGGCACATGGGTGATTTCGACTTTGCTCTAGTTACATAAATATATTCACCAGCTATTTTGGAAAATACAACAAAATAAAAATACAGGAAGCCGAGGGGACCCATGGTCCTATGATGCAAACATGATCACCACTAACATCACCTTCTGCACCTTTTTCTTTTCTTATAAGGATTTTTTTCTCCAGTTTAATAAATACATTGGGGAAATTTCTCATTTCATCAAATATCAACAACATGCTTTCCCTTTATTTAGACTCAGTTTTAAACCGGGCATGCTGGCACACACCTATCATCCCAGCAGGAGGATTGCTGTTAGTTCGAGGCCAGCCTGGGCTTCATAGTGAGTTCAAGACTGGCCTGAGCTGCATAGCGAGACCCTTCCTCAAAAAGATAAGAAGGGGAGGGGCTAGGCATGTGGCTCAGTGTGAAGCCTCTGTTCAGTCGCCAGTACTACTGAAAAAAAAAAAGGGAAAGGAAAGGATGGGAGGGAAATTAGAAAGTTGGAGGGAGGGTATTATATTATTTTTTAAAATTTTATATTTTTTATTATTTATTTTTAATTATGCGTTATTTACAAGGCACAGAGAAATCAGCACAAAAGTAGCATATAGTCTTGTGATGTTTGGCCCCTGGTCATAGCTCCACCAGAATTTTTTTTATACCGAGAACTGAATTCAGGACCTTGCCCTTGCCAGGCCGGCACCATGCCACTGAGCTGTACCTCAGGCTCCACCAGGTTTTTAAAACAAACTGCGAAGGGCCTGGCTCAGCTGCATCTCTGAGAGCCAGGCCAGTGACCCACATGCTGCACTGTCCCCTCCCTGCAGGCCCAGACTGTCTTCCTCCCCTGTGGCCACGTCTGCTGCTGCCAGCAGTGCTGCCAGCCCCTGCGCACCTGCCCCCTGTGCCGCCGGGACATTGCCCAGAGCCTCCGCATCTACCACAGCAGCTGAGCGCCGCACCTGCTGCCCACAGCCGGCTCACCTCGCAGCTCCCTGCCACACAATCCGGGCCAGGCAGGGACGCTCCTGACCCCGACACGGCTGCTCAGAACACAGGCAGAAAGGAAGGCGGCTGTCCCTTGCCTGGGCTAGAGGGACACCTCCGGAAGGGGCGAGTTGCGCAGGCCCGGCCCCCAGCCTCCCCTCTGCTGCTGTTGCACGTGCCCTGCCTCCTGTACACATCTGTGCTGCCCCCACACAGTGGAACCCAGAGCGGGACATCAATAAAACCTAAAGCGCGCTCCTTCCCTGGCTCCTCTGGGGGCGGGCGGGCACTGGCCAACTCCTTTGTGGGCGGGGACGCGACCTGGGCAGCCAGAGCCAGGGGTGGCAGTGGCCCGTGGCCCACAAACTGGTGGTGCCCTGTGGATCAACACTGCATCCCTACTGCCGTTACCCTGGATGGGCAAGCCGAAGCAGGTAGATGCCCAGACCTCGGAACCGGGATGTTGCAGTACGGGTTCGGAGCCCGCGTTTCCCGTACGGGACCTGCATGTGGCGTCCGTGGGACGCCCAGCAGCTGCGCGTGCCAGTGCTCGAAGGAGTGGTGCGTGTTTCTCACAGGCAGCATCGCTCAAGGCACCTGGGCTCAGCGCAGGCCTCCAGGACTTTCCCCTGTCCTGCGAGTGTGGTTCACGACGGCGCCCTTATGCTAGCCGCCACCGGGGGGCGCTCGGTGCTCAGCTGAGGCGCAGGGTGGATAGGGGTGCGCCAAATGACAGGCCCTGGGAGGCAAGATCCCCCCCCTGACCCTGCTTCCCCACTCACTGGAGCCATGACTCCTGCAGCGCTAAGGGGGGGGGGTGATATATATATGCCCCTCACAGTGTGGGTCCTGCTATTCGGTGCCTTAGCTGGGTGCCCCCCCCTACATTTTCCTGGGCTCTGCCTGGCCAAGAGGGGAGACTGAGGCCAACCAGGCCACATTATGGAGCACAATGGCTTATGGGTCTTCCCTCCTTACTAGGGCGCTAGGACCTCTGCCACTCCCTCCTATAACTGAGGAGCTCCAGGTTCAGATTTGCCCAGGACAACAGCAGAACAGCGGGGTCCCCAAACTCAGACCCAGGCCCTCCATTTTCTGCACCTTCTCAGTGCTGCTGAGGAAGAGGGGCCGGCTGCCTGCCAGGGACACCAGTAGAGACATGTGTTACCCACTGATGGCACATGAGTGACAGTGGCTGCAGGGCCCTCAGCGTAGCCTCAGCCAAGCTGCCCCAGATCCCTGACCCCCCACATGAACACATAAGTGCATTTTCCAAATGCCAGTGTGGGACCCAGTCTGGGAAGAACTGGCATGGCTGTCTGCCATGGGTGAGCACCCAGGGCCTTGACTGCCTTTAAGGCCCTGCTGTTCTGGTCACTCCCTGCTAAGCAGCAGCCTGCCCAAGCTGGGCAGAGGACACCACCCGAGAGGCCATCAGAAGCAGAGCCACCCACAGCTCCATGACCTTGGACAAGTCCTTTCTGAGTCTCAGTCTCTTCACTCAGACTGTGGAGCTGGGCATGGTAGCACACACCTGTATTCCCAGCTCTGGGAAGGCTGAGGCAGCAGGATCACTGAGTTCAAGGCCAGCCTGGACTACAGAGTGAAACCCTGTCTAAAGCAAAACTGACACTGAACCAGCAGATCTTGGGCAGGAAAATTGTCCTGTACGGTCCCTGGCTCAGGCACTGTCCCCCTCCTCACTCCCAGCCCGCCCCCCTCCCCAGCACACAAGAACAACTTTAAATAAAGCATTTATTGATTAGCAGAAGCTTAAACAGTTTGCATAGTATTTGCAATACCATATCCGGAAAGGCTGATTGAAACCCCCAAGGCACTAGAGGGGAACATCCGAAGAAGTTAGTGATGCAGCCAACATTGGGCCTGGGGGGCTAGGGGTCCCTGAGCACCCGCTGCCATCCTGTGGGTCTAAGGTCCCTGCCCTGAGGAGCAGGTCTGGAGCACAGAGTTGCCAAGTGGGACCCTGGGTGGGGGCTGCCACCCCAGGGCTTCCTCAGCCTGACCTTCGCACTCAGACCAAGCAGTGGAGGCCACACCAAGCCCCAGGTGATTCATGAGGGCATTTTTAGAGCAGGACCCAGAATTTCGAAGGTCAGGTGACTTGGGGCTCAGAGGCAGCAGAGGCCGTGCCCCACTTGCCCTTGGAAGCCCTGTCCAGGTCCCTTGGAGGTGGCAGGGAGGTAACACTAGGCCTCCAAGCAATCTGCCAGGTCAAAAGGTGAACCAAGGCCAACAGGGCAGGGGGCAGGGAACTCCAAGACCACCCTGGATCCCAGGCAGCAGGCTGGAGACCGGTGGGGACTGGGAGAAACAGGTGTGTGCAGAGGCCCCCCCAGATCCCCCACTTCCCAAGACACACTCTGCCCCCTCAGCCTGGAGCCTCCTACACAGCTCACGCACCCCAACCTCAACTCATCTCTCCGACACTTCTCACCACACATATCAGCACGTCCCAGGTCTTTCTCGCATCCATGGCCCCTCACCACTCCCCTCAGGAACAGGGCCACATACAGCACTCTCCTATCCCCACTTGGTGACCCCCTCTTCCAGCACCCTCAGCCAGGCAGGGTAGCCTGGGGTGGCAGGACGGAAATGGGGCCCCAGCACGCCCCCTGGTGGGATGAGGTCAATTCGCCAGCTTCCCAGACTTAGGGGCAGCGCCCCGCACCCATCCTTCTCCCTCCGGGATGGCAAGACCCACAGGGAAATGGAGGTGCCAGAAACAGGGTAGGATGGAGGAGCACCCCGGTCCCCTCCAGCTGCACTGAACCCCCAGCACAAAGAGAAAGCCTGGAAACCAGACCCTGCATCCAAGATCAGCCCACAGAAGGGAAGATGGGGAGCAGCCGAGGCTGGGCCGCACCCAGTAAAGTGACTCAGTGGGCACAGAGCACTGCCCCTGCCCAGGGCCCCCTGAGCCCGCTGGTGCCTCCAAGGAAGCAGCCGCTCAGCCGAGCCTAAAACTCCGTCTGCACCCCCGAGCTGTCCTCAGAGGTGGTGTGGATCAGGGTGCAGCCACCGGGGCTGGACACCTGCTCCCCGGTCTCCTGGTTGGTGGGGTTGGAGGGCTCAAGGTCCACAGCCTTCTCAGGGGGGAGATGCGGGGGCATCTCGGGGACTGCCTCGGGCTGGGGGGTCTCCTGGACCGGGGCCCCATTGAGCAGGGGGCTCTCAGCCTGCAGATCCTGGGACAGAAGGCTTCGGATCGTGTTGACACTGTCCGGGGATGCTGGGCACGCTGGGGATGGCTCAGAGCCCACCTCGAGAGGCAGCCCTGCCTCCTCATCCTGGACCACAGACACCACCTGCTTGGCGCGCCGGCGCTTCTCCGAAAGGGTGGCCCCTTCGGGGGCCACAGGACCCGGGCTGCCCCCACCACCATCACCACGGTCACCGTATTCTTCACCCCAGTCGATGGGCGCACCCTCGGCCAGCAGGTGCAGGTTGGGGTCACTGTTGTGCAGGACCACGCTGTCCCGGTACAGGTTGTGCTTCCGCTGCACTGCGGCCTCCTTCACAGCTGCAGGCCAACAGGGGGTTAGGACGCTTGGCCAAGCTACAGGCCCCCCTCCTCCCCTTGGGGTGGCCTGGATTGTGGCTCCAGCCACCCAGAGCCCAGGCTGTGAGCCACCAATGAGCCCTCAGCAAAGCCAAAGCCCTGAGCAAACAGGCACAGAGAGGAAGCCACTGCTCTCAGCTCAGCCTCGGTTGGGGCGTTGTTTGGTTTTTGCTTTTGAGACAGCGTCTCTGTTAGGCAGCTTAGGCTGGCCTCAGACTCAGTGCTCCTCCTGCCTCAGCCTCCCAAGGTATGCACTATCACGCCTGGTCTCTTGGGTTTCCCTTCATCCCTTTGCTGATGCCCCCCCAGCCCCGCATGGCCACACACCCTGCAGTATGTCCTTCATGACGGTCTGCAGCACCACCTCCTCGTATGTGTTCTCGACCAGGAGGAACCTGGCAAAGTCCTCGAAGATCAGCTCCTGGAAGCGGGGCAGCTCCTGTGGGGAACAGCAGTAGGCAGTAGACACGGGTCAGGGTAGGGCACGGCAGGGGAGAGGGCCAGGAGGCTGGGGTGGGCGCTCACCGACTTGCAGGTGGGCGCCAGCTTCTTGAGCAGGAAGGGGATGGTGACCTGCAGCAGCGCCTCCCGGAAGAACCGCTTGCGCACCGTGCTGCTGTCGTAGTCATATTTCTGTACAGCAGGGATCACCGGAGGGTACTCTGGATCAGCACTCGAGGCCACGTCGCTGGCAACCCCCCTCTGTCCCCCTGCCTGCAGGCCGCAGCTGGGGCTGGGCTCACCTTGAGTACCCGCTCCAGGATGCGCTGGATGGACTTGCACAGCTCCTCCCGCGTGGGCCCCTTTCCCAGCTCCTGGTGCAGCAACGTCTCGAAGGTGTACACTGCATTGTCCATTTGCTACAGGGACACCGAGGGGCACACCGTGGGGCTGCTGGGGTAACCGCAGCCCCTGCCTGACCACTGTTAAAGGGATCCCCAGCCTGCTCCCACCCAGGTCCTGGCCAGGAAGAGCAGGAGGCAGTCTGCGTGCCCCTTGTTCACACTGGTCACCATCTACTATGGGCATAGGAAGGGGTAGGCAGGAAGCGTGGACAGCTTCCAGGAAGAAGGGGTGGAGGCCCAGGCGTGGGCGGGAGGACGGGGAGCACAGGAGGTGGGTGGGGACCCAGCGGGCAGGTGCAGGCGCAGGATGGACAGGGCCACCCATGAGTGGTGGGGAGCGGGGCCCACCTCGCGCATGAGGATCTGGGCGCGCTGCTTGAACACGGAGGTGCTGGACACATCAAAGCGCTGCTGCAGCCCATCGAGCCGCAGCGGCTCCATCTTGTCGTAGCATCCCTGCATCTTCAGCGGGTGGTAGGCTAGCTGGGACAGCTTCTCCATGTACTGCAGGCCGTGGGGACACAGGGACCTCTCAGCTGGGGCCACCCAGAGGTAGGGCAGCCCGCAGACCCACACCTGCCTCAGCCTGGCACTGGCTGCCAGCCATGGGATCCTGCACCAGTGCCCACAGATAAACCTGGAGGCCCAGGCCAGGAAGGCAGAGCTGAAAAGAGACCTTCTCATCCCTGCCAGGGTGCTGGGAGACCTCAGGCAAGTCACTCTCCTCCTCTGGGCCCCGTGTCTTCAGCTCCAAAATCAGCTGATGGCTTTTCATGACATCTAAGGAACTTTCTATTCCTCCAATGATTCTTACTGTCTGTGGACTCCCAGTTGTGAAACGGAAAGGAGACAGCAGGGACATGGGACAGATTCTATCCCCACCTGACAGCTAGGGGGCAACTGGGCAGCCAGCTGTGGTAGGAACACTCATTCCAAGAACCCGGTAGCTGAGGACATTTGGAGGGCATCTGACTCACGTTTTCTTGTTTGTTTTTGTTTTCTGAGACAGGGTCTCACTATATATTCCAGGCTGGCCTTAAACGCACATTTAGCCCAGGCTGTGAGCTCAAACTCACAGCAATCATCTGCCTCAGCCTCCTGAGTCCTGGGATTACAAGTGTGTGCCACCACATCCAGCTTAAAGCCTTTTATATGTTAGCTTCCCAGGGAGTTAATAGTCCTCCTTTTGCCTAACTGCTGGCTCCCACCAGGACTTGGGACCACTCTGTTCCGGTCTATCTCCATGTGACCTTTGCTTATAGCCTCCCCCATCCCCAGTCCTGGCATCTGAACCCAAGACCTTGCTACTGAGCTACGGCTCCAGGCCCTTTCATCGTTTCTGTTTTGAGCCTCTCTCTAAGTTGCCCAGGCTCACACTGAGATCCTCCTTCCTCAGCCTCTCAGAGTGCTGCCATCCCAGCTTACTCACAGGTCCTGTCTGGGTGCCCCCTCCCCGCCAGTGCCCCAAAGGAACCAAAGCCAGGCCCAGCGCACCTCGCCCAGCTTGTCGATGCCACCCTCGTTGATCACGTTCAGGTTCATGTCGGTGACCTCCTTGAAGAAGACATCCCGCACCTCGGTGAAGCCCTGGCTGGTGGGTACCATGAGGGCCTCCAGGATGGACGAGATATAGGGCTGGACGTGGTTCCGCACACACACTTCCGCCTTGGGCAGGATAAACGCTGTGCCAGGAGGAGCCGGGTCAGTGGGGGAGGAGGGCTCTTGCCCAGCAGGTGGCACCCAGGGGCTGCTCAGGGCCCAGGCTGCCCAGAGTCCAATGCCACAGACGCATGGACTGTGCTGTTTTTACAGAAAGTCCCTGGTGGTGGCTCCATTCCCAGGCTCAGTGACTGCAGAGGAAGAGGCAGGAAAGATAACCACTTGCTCTACATAGTGAGACCCTGCGTCAATACAACTGAAGAGTAACAGGGGACTTGGAGATTGGACCAGAGGTATTTCTGACATTGATGAAACAACAAGAAACTAAGAAAACTGCTGTCTGAAAGGGGATGTGTGCACCTTCCTAGCATGCACAGGGTTGTGGATTTGTTTTGTTTGTTTTGTTTTGTTTTGTTTTGTTTTGTTTTGTTTTGGGACAGGGTCTCACTGCATAGCTCGGGCTGGCCTCGAACTTACAGTGATCCTCCTGCCTCAGCCTCTTGACTGTTGAGATGGCAGGCATGGGCCACCACACCAGGCCTTGATTCTATTTTCAAAAATGATCCACAAGCATGGACCATGCACTACACAGAAAGGAAGCTTGCCGGGCCCCCTCAGGGGCCAGTGACCGCAGGCGTGGCTGGCCTACCTCGAATCTTGCTGGCCAGGTGCTCCTTGGAGGTGATGATCTGGTCCATGTCCGTGCGGATGGTCGCCTCCATGGCGGGCCGGGCCCGCTGCAGCTTGGACAGCGTCTCCTCGAAAAGCACCTTGACCCGCTCATACACCATACGGTATGCGGAGTCTGAGATCTGCGGCAGCAGCGGTGTCACATGGGGCTGAAGGCCCGGACCCTGTCCCTGCCCCACCTGGGTCCCAGCTCACCTGGATCCACTGTCGTTGCCGCTCCTGCAGTTTCCCCTTCAGCCTCGGTGCAAGCTCTGCCTTCAGCTCGGGGCCCAGCTCCTCCATTACCAGGTTGCTCAGGATCTAGGACCAAGAGGCCCACACCAGGTTTGCAGGGGGGCCAGTGACCTCCATTTTTCTCTCTGTATTTTGGTCCAGGCCCTCCAGCCCCTCTCCTCTGCTTTGGCCCTTTGGCTCCACATGCCCCAGAGGGTCAGGCTTACCTGCCTGGGTGCCCTGCAGGCTTCTCAGACTCTGAGGCCCGGCCCCAGGCCCTTTGCACATGGCAGCCTCCCATGTCCAACACTCCAAGCCCTCCCATTCTGGCTGAGTGCATGCATGCATATGTGTGTGTGCGTAATATGTTTCTTTTTTAAATTTGTGCGACACAAGGTCTCACTATATAAATCAGGTTGGCCTCATGGTGATCCTAAAGGTGATCCTCCTGCCTCAGCCTCCCGAGTACTGAGATTACAGCCACCACATTCAGTTTGAATGTCAGTCCTCCTTGGAGTCAGAGCTCCTGAGGGGCCAGGGCTGCATCCGCACATGGTGCCTGGTCCCCCAAGGTGCTCAGTAATTGAGTGATGAGGAACCCCATGGACCTTGCACTGACCCCTTCTGTCCAGATCTGAACCCTTGTCTCCCCTTATCCCCCAGAGCCTGTCTGCAGCCCCCGCCAGACCTCACCTGCACCTCGTTCCCGCACAGCATCTCCCAGGTGCCGTACAGCTCCTTGGCCTGGCGGTACATGCGGATGGCATCTGTGAAAGCCGGGCCCTCCACCTTGGAGTCCTCGGGGATGCCTAGCCCACAGGAGGGAGAAGGGCTCAGCTGACCGAGCAGACACGGGCCACACCAGCAGCACCACTGCCCAGCTTGCTCCTCCAGACCCCAGCCCCTGCACCTGCACCCCTGACAACCAACCAGCCTCGAGGTCGGGCCTCGGGCCAAATGGCACAGGCATGGCCAAAGGGGACTCAGTTTCCCTGGCAAGAGCAACAGTCACCCCGGCCTGGCTTCACCCTGGTACTTGGGGGTGCCCTGCGTCCCAGTGGGGCCAGGTGGGGAGCCGTGAAGTCTGGGGCATGGGAAGCTCAGGGTGCCCATGGAGCCTTCTTTTTTCTTTTTTTTTCCTTCTTCTGTATTTTGATTGTCGTTTTGGTACCTGGGCTTGAATCCAGCCCTGTCCACAGAGCTACATTCTCATGCCTTTCTTTGTTTTTTCATTTTTTTAAAAATGTGTTTTCTATTTTGAGACAGGGTCTCGCCAAGCTGCCCGAGCAAGGATTAAACTTATACTTCTCCTGCCTCAGCCTCCCAGAGGCAGGCAGGCTCCCAGTGTTAACACTTTCTGTCAGGAACTAATAGAAACCAGATGGCCCTGCCAGCCCTGGGTCTGTCTTGTCCCAGGGACTGCATCAGCTGCTGATAAAAAGAACTTGGGCTGGGGATGTAGCTCAGTGGCATAAGCGCCTGCCTGGCAAGTGCCAGGTCGTGAGTTCCATCCCTGGTACCAAAAAAAACAAAAAACAAAAAAAACCCAAATGCTAGAACTTTACTGAAGAATAAACGCAGCCACGCATGGAGCGCACGCCTAGAATCCCGGCACCCAGGAGGCTGAGGTGGGAGGACTGACTGCCTTGAGTTCAGGGCCAACCTGAACTACACAGTGATGCCCTGTCTCAAAAAACACACACAGAAAAAAACCCTAAATGGCCCTGGGAGCACAGCTCTCCAGGAGAGCTCGGGCCTAGCATCAAGCCCTGGCTTCCATCCCCAGCACAATCATTCGGGGGGGGAAAAAAACTGACAATGACTAGAAAAATGTCGGTCACTGGTGGTGTTGGTGGCCTATATTGGAGAAGGCATGGATGAGACAAAGACCCCAGACCCAGAGCCAAGGAGGCTGGCAGGAAGTTGCAAAACCTGCTGGGGTTGGGGGGTGGCTCCCCAGCAGAGGGCCTGACCACAGGGTCCCCAGAGCCCAGGGGAGGGGAAGCAGCAGCTGCACCCCACAACTCCCAGTGCCTGCTGCCATGACTGCAGGCTGAGTCACTGCATTGGCGGGGGAGGGGGGAATCTCAGAAGGGGAGGGCCACAGGACTCACCACCTGCGCCAGACTGGAGCTACGGGACAGGGAAACTGAGGCCCAGCGCCCCTCCCAGCGCTGAAGCACAAGGGATGCCTGCCCCTGCATGTTGAGGACCACAGTCAGACAGGCAGGGGGCAGTATCAGAGCAGGCAGCACAATGGGGAGAACCCACACGGAGGTGGAGTGGTCCCAACCAGGGCGACCTTCTCTGGTCCACACATCTGCTGAGTTTGACAGGCTTGAGTTACCACCCCTGCCTGGCACTCTCCTACCAGCCGGGCTGCTACCCACTCAATGGCGCCCCCTCCACACACTCTGAAGTCCTATCTTTATTTACTTGTGTTTTTGGTTTTTTAAGACAGGACTTTGATATGTAGTTCAGACTCCCAGTGATCCTCCTGCCTCAGCCTGCTGGGATGACGGTATGCACCACCACACCCCGACATCCCTCATCTTTAGTTCAGCGCCATGGAAAAGCAGCCAGACACCAAGACCAGGGCTAAGCCCGTTCCACTGAGATCCTTCTCAGAAGGAGAAATCAACAAGTCCCTGTCTCTCTTCCGCTGTTCTGGGGACTGAACCCAGGATTCTCTACACTACTACCACTGCCACTGCCACTGAGCTCCATGCCTAGCCCTTCTTCAAGCTTTATCTGAGACAATGTCTTGCCGTGTTGCCCAGACTGAGCTTAAACTTGTGATCCTGCTTCCTCAGTCTCCTGAGCCTCCTGGATAGGGTTGCAGGTGCGCTCACGCTGTGCACAGCTGCCAGGGGAAATTTCATGAAAAACACGAAGTTATGGAAGGTGAGGAGCTGAGGCAGGAGGATTGGGGGAGCCCCGAACCCTGGAGTCAGCTGAAGGCGAGAGCCAATTTCGATACATAAATAAATAAAAAAACAAACAAACCAAACCCCAGGTGCTCACAGCGAGATGGCCCTGCCAATAACCCGCCCTGGACTTCTGGCCTCCGGACCTGGGAGAAAGTCCCATCTGCGCCCGTAAGCTAAGCGACCCGCAGCTCTGAGACAGGAGCCCTGGACTGAGGCTCCACTCCTGCGCCGAGCCAGGAGGAGAAACCAGAAACCTCGGCTCAGAGAGTGCAGGCCCGGGCTCCCGGCACCCCCCGCTGCGGAATGGGAAGGGCACGGCCAGGGCCCGAGCCCAAGCCCCGGACACCTCGTGAGAAAGGAAGCTCGGTCTCAGCCCGGGTGGGAGCAGGAAGGCAGCGCTCCGGCGGCCAGACAGGCTCCGACCCCTCCACCGCAGCTCACCCCGGGCCCGGCCCAGCCGGTGCCCCAGCCGCCTCCCGCCACCCCCTGCGGCCCGAGGAATGCAGGATGCAGGAGCCGGGGCGGGGCTGGCGGCCACCCAGCGCGGCGCCCTCCCCGCCCACCCCCACTTCCTGGCAGCCCCAGGAGTGAGCGCTTCCAGCTCCACACATTCCAGGGCCAGGTTCTCACAGTCCCGGCAGGGCGGAGGGAAGGCCAGGCCGAGTCAGAAACCAGCTCTTCAGCCCCCGCCCGCAGACTCCGGTCCCAGCCAGGACGCCCCGCCCCGCCCCGCCCCGCAGCAACTTCCAGACTCCTCTCCTACCAGCAGCAACCCCTCTCGGAACCAGCACTCGCCACCATCAGATAGGCGAGTGGAGACGTAGCTCCTTCCCTACAGGGCATGGGGTCCCCCAACCCACCAGGCCAGGTCAGCACCCAGGGTCCGGGTCGGGGAGGGAGAAGGGCACCCGGCCGGCAGCAGAGCCAGAGCCAGAGCCCCGGCCCCAGGGACCTGGGAACAGGAGGCCCTTTGTGGGCGGCAGAGCATGACCCAGCCCAGGTAGCAGGGGTTGGCCCCACGAAGATTGGCAGAGATTCCAGATGGGCAGAGGCGTCTCCAGAGAGGTGGGGTGAGCTGGCTTCCCCGCAGTGCCCACGCCACCACCCCTCACAGTGGGGTGGGGCTGTGCTGGAGGCAGAGGTAAGAGCAGGTGCAAGGATCTCTCTCTGCCTTCCTGAGGCCCAGCCCAGGCAGAAGAACCCCGCCCCACCCAGCAGCCGCACTAGGCCATCCCCACCCCAACTCAGGGCCTAGACAGGTCCTCTGAGTTATGATGGGAAAATACAGTGCGTGTAAATTTTTTAAAATTTATTACAGTAAAGGATACATTGCCACAAACCTCCTCAAAACACTCCTCTCATTCGGAACATTCTTATCCCATTTTCTTCCCACTCCTGAAGCAGTTCTGGAAGGCCTCTTTTGTGTCTTCAGTTGTGCTGCGCTGTCTTGATGTCCTTTTCTCCCTCCCTCCTTCCTTCCTTCCTTCCTTTTTCTTTTGAGACAAGGTCTCACTAGCACAGGCTGTCCTCAAAAACTCAAGAGGCCTCAGCCTCCCAAGTACTGGGGTTACAGGCAGGCACTACCATACCCAGCTTGATATCCTGCACTGATTCAAAACATTTACCTTTCATGGTCTTTCTGACCTTGGGGAAGAACCAGAGGTCACACAGTACCAGACCTGGGACTTAGGTGGCTGAGGGAACACCATAATGCTCTTTCAAACCTGCCTTTCCGTTTGGGGAGCACCCGGCAGCAACATTCACCTATTTTAATCACACCTCATAAAGACACTGATGAACAAGGACTTCCAGGAGTGCTTTAGAAAGTGGCCAGAACAGTGGGAAGAGTGCGTTCAAAGCACGGGGAGGGTTCTGAGGGAGGTCCATGGCAATGATGTCTTCTCCTGTAATAAAATTCTAAACATTTAAACTTCGCCATCTTTCCTGTGACCTAGGACTGTCCACCCTGCAGGTCTAGGGCACCTGCCCCTCCCCGCCACCCGGAGGAACCCCTCATAGCCCCTCGGGGATCTCCCCCCACGCAGGCTCAGGGATCCCAGGGAGGCGTCCACTTTGCACCCAGCCCGGCTATGAGCTGTGACTCATCACCCGTGGCTCATCTGTCTCGACTTGTCCCCCCAGACTTGTTCCCCCTGCCTGAGGGCAGAAGACGCACCTGGCTCCCCTGCTGCACCCTCAGATAGGACCTAACAGTGGCTGCTGGCTGCACGACTGAGCTAGGCCATGCATTGCACGAGTTCACAGATGTTCCCAGGTCACATTGGTGGTAAAGACAGGAAGGACACAGTAAGAAAACTTTGCCCAGGGGCTGGGGATTTAGCTCAGCGGCATAAGCGCCTGCCTTGCAAGCAGGCAGTCGTGAGTTCGATCCCCGGTACCGATAAAAAGGAAAAAACTTTGCTCAGCAGAGTGCAGACTCTCCTTGTGGGGTTCCCAAACCCCTAAGACATAGAAAGACTGTCCCCAATTTACAGTGGGCTCCAAGAGGGAAGTCAACTTAAAAGTCATATTTTGAGAAAACAGTAGAATCGGCATTGTGCTTTCCTATGCCGGGGCCCAAGGATTCAACAACCACACCCCTCTGGGAACAACTTCCTAATTTCTCCTGGGCAACACCAGTGTCTTCATCAGGGAATAATATTTGAGGCTGATCATCAGCCCAGTTTCCTACCACCCGGAAGGGAGCCTATAAAATAGCCCACAGAGCAGGGTAGCGCCACCCCACTCAGCCACTAGGTGTCGCTGTATAACCCTGCAAGTCCCCCTCCAAGCAGCTCACCGTTATTGCAGTGCCGGACGCAGTCCTGCACCACCGCCTGCCACTTGTCCTGCTCGGCTTCTGTCATCATGCAAAAGTAGTAGTGTCGTGCATAAGGATGCCAGAGGATCAGTGGGAACTGGGTGGGGCACTTGAAGATGGGGGTGCTACCCGGTTTTGATGTGGTCCCTGTGGAGACAGTGCCTTGAGCAGTTAATGACTGCAGTGTCCCTGGTCAGAGGACAACGGGGAAGGCTGACCTGTCAAGGGTGGCTAGGGTCACTAGGGACATGGTGGCCTTTATTTTTCATCTCTCTCTTTTTTTTCCAGTACTGGGGATTGAACTCACAACCTTGCACTTGCCAGGCAGGAATTTATGCCACTGAACTGAATCCCTGGCTCTCTGTCTCTCTTTTGAGACAAGGCCTCACTTATAGCCCAAACTGGCCTTGAACCATGATCCTCCTGCCTCAGCCTCCCGAATGCTGAGGTCAGAAGCATGTACCACCACACCTTGCATGCAGCAGCATTCTTTCTGTCCTCCAGAGCCTGGCTACAGGAACCTCAGAATCCGGCACCCATGCTGACCCCTTCCCTAGCACTGCAGGAGGCCACACCTCCCTAGTGGGTAATCTAAACTTGTGTGTTTAGATGATTAGCGAGAGTCCTTGGGTTCAAAGGCAAAGCACTGTCTGCTTGAGTTTCCCTTCAAATTTCTGCTTTAGAGGCCAGAGTGTGGTTTAAATGTCCAAGTAGGGAGGGAGGCAGATGGGGCAGGGAAACAAAACAAATAAAAAGGAATTTATTTCTATTTGATCCTCATGGATATTCAAGATCCAGCAAAATACCTGGTCCTGAGCTGTGCCCCATCCCCCAGGTTAATGATGGGACAATAGTAGCTCTCTGTGCCCTGGCCTGGGTCAGCCCGGGCTGGGCCTGGGACACCCAGCACTTCTTGGGTCTGTGCCACACCCCAAGGTTGCTCTTCTCAAGCCTGCACAGCCCCACAGAGATGGACCCAGAGTCAGGACTGGGGTAGGGACAGTCAGAACTGTCCCCCCAGGCTGGCTTGACCGCAGGCACCTTGGTAGAGTGTGGAGAAACAGGACACCAGGAGCAGTAACTCCTAGCAAACCTGGCATGGACATGCAGTTTACGGGTCATCTCGGCAGGGTTACTGACTCAATTTCTTTTCTAGGGCAGCTCTCAAGAACTCAGGGAGCCAAGCACGGTGGTGCAGGCCTGTAATCCCAACATTCGGAGGCTGAGTCAGGAGAACTGCTGTCCTCACTCCACACCTAGCTAGACTGGGCTACTAAGTGAGCTGAAGGCCAGCCTGAACTGCATAGCGAGATCCTGTCTCAAAAAAACCAGAACCAAGACAGGGAGATAGGGAGACTCCCATTCCACAGTGGTGAGGCACAGGGCCCGGGTACCCGGATGAGGGCGCACACAGGTCCAGGCCCAATCCAGTGTGGCCTTGGGCAAAGCACACCTCTCAGGCCTAGCCACCTCTCCCCTTTGGAGGTTCAGGCTGTGTTAGTGCGGGACCTGAAGCAATGAGCTTGGGGCCACCCCCGCCTCTGGTCCCCTCCTGAAGCCTGTTGCAGGATGCCAGGCTGGGGTCGAGTGGCCTTTTACCTGGTAAGGAGTTGCCAACCAGCTCCAGGTATTGGTCCAGCGAGGTGAGGACTTTGTAGCCGGCACTGTTGATGATGGCGCGGGGTGGGACCTGCCGCTCATAGGCCTAAGGAGGGCAGGAGAGAAGGCCCCGAAAGTCACAGAGGGGGCTGAGCCCAAATCCCAGCTCCAGTTCTGGCTGCAGGGCCCAAGGGTGGGGCGGAGAAGGAGAAGGAAGGAGCCAAGAAGGGTGCGGAGACTGTAGGGCGACCTCAGCACAGTGCCTGGCCCAGAACAGGGCTCAGGGTGTGTCTGTCACTGTCACTACCACCCCACTGCCTTCCATTCCACAGCTCCTCTAGTTAAGTGTACACTGGGCGCTGTACTGGGGCACAACACATGGCCACGACAAGAAGGCTGCTATTTGTCCCCAGAGCTGGGGTCTTTAATTATTACTTTGAACTCCTACCCCAACATACCTAGGTTCTAAGCACCCTCAGTCTCCTCCCAAGGAGAACTGGGTCAGGATACAGCGCCCCTGCAGGAGCCAGGGAAGAGTACTTGGGATGTAATGACTCCTACAGCAGGGGTGCCGTGCTGCTCCTGACCACTAGGTGTCACTATTGTCTAGGGATAGGCCGTGAAGCTGTGCGGTCTCTTCCCAATCAGATCCTGGGAACCGAACCCAGAGCCTTCACACTGAGCTACATCTGCAGTTCTCTAGAGATGAGGCCTTGCTAAATTGCTCAGGCTGGGCTTGAATTTATGATCATGCTGCCTCAGCCCCCTGGAGCACAGAAATTAGAGGCTTGTGTGCCACCACACCCATTAGAAATCCAAATTCCTTTTTTTTCGGTGGTGGAGGGGGTTGACTCAGGGTCTCACCATGTAGTTCAGGCTCACCTAAGGATGCTTAGAACCAGTTCCAGGCTGAACTGGAATTTGCAGTGATGCTCCTGCCTCAGCCTCCTGAATACTGACATTACAGGTATGTATACTTGGCTAGAAATGGAAATTCTTGGCCCTGCCTCAGATCCAAATCAAACTCTAGTTGGTCAGGCTCAGCAACCTCTTTTCTCCAAGCCCTCCAGCAAACCCTGAGGTTTCAACCTATCAGTTGAAAACCACTGTCCTGAGGGCCCAAAGGTGAGCAGACTCCCTGAGAATTCACCTGTTCAGAACAAGGAAAACAGGCCGATGCCTTGGGCTGCTCAGGAGAAAGGTCTGGCAGATGAAATCGGGGCTGTGGGTTTTCGAAAGAGCCCCAAGCAAAAACAAGGCACAGTCCACGCAGAGGGCAGGGCGGGCAAGCCTGGGGCAGGGACTGGCCAGTGGCCAGTGTGTCCTGCCTGCAGAACTAGACCAGGGGAAGGCAGCTGCCCAGGGTGTACGCAGGAGGGTGTAGGGAAAGGGAGTCACGGGCAGGGAGGAGCCAGAGCTCAGAACACTGGGGCGCCAGGGATGAGGGTGGGGGCTCACCACTTTGTTCTCATGCAGCACCAGCCCGTAGTTGTGGGGCACCAGGCTGAAGCGGTTCCTCCACTTCTTGCTGTCCTCCTGGTACTGGAAGAGGTTCCCCGAGAAGATGATGCGCTCGTCCAGCGGCACCTGTGGCAGTAACGGGGTCCCCTCAGGCCACAGCGGCTGCTTCCCAGGTCTCACCAGGCCTTACCCCAGCGGCCTCCGACTCAGCCGGGCCCAGGGCCTCCCATTCTGTCCTGGCCTAGGGCAGGCACAGCCACCCAACTCTGCCACCCTGAAGCAAGGCAGTCACCATAGCCAGAGGGGACACACCCCCGGCCAGCCCTGAGCCTCAGTTTCCCATCACAACAATGAAAACTTGAACAGGTATAGGGATGATTTGGGTTAGGGGCAAGCTGACTTTAAGGGGAGCTACAGAAGCCAGGACGGGACACGGTATACACACTCCAGGCAAGCTACTGCCCTTTTCTTGCCAAGCTAAGCTGTCTGCCCTAAGATAAATTTATAAAATAGTAAAAAAAAAATTTTTTTTTTTGTTTAAATGCAGTGATTAAACCGGGCTTTCACACTGAGCTACAACCCAGTCCTTTATTTCTTAAATTTAAGGTGGAGTTTGACTAAGCTGCCAGATTTCCTAGGCTGACCTTGAACTTGCTATCCTCTGGCCTCAGCATCCCAGAACACTGGAATGTTATGGCTTTTGTCTGGATGTCCCCAAAAGCCTCACACAGGCACGGGGGGGCCTTTTCAGCCATGCAAGGATCCAGAGGGTGCCATGCTGGGGTTAAGGGTGGGCGATTACTAAATCAGCCCGCTGACTGGTTTGGCGAAGTTCTGGGTGGGATGAAAGGTCCCCCGCCAGTGGGGGTGCTGCCTGCCTGGATGCAGCGTTAGAGGACAGAAAGCATCTGACCCTTATCCCTGCTGCTGCTGCCGGCTGGACGCAGCTTGCTGCCTTCTCCCTTCTGTCTGCCACGCTATCCTGCTTTGCAGCCAGCCAATTTCAGGCTGAAACCTCTACAATGGTGAGCTAAATAAATCTTTCCTGGTTTAACTTTTGAGTGTGGAGTATTTTATCACAGCAATAAGAAAAGTAATAAGTCACTGAAATTATAAGCATGTGCCCACCCTGTCCATCACACAGAAAAATAAGAAATGGAGCGGGCAGTGTTGAGACAGAGTCTTGATGTGTAATTCAGGCTGTCCTTGAAGTCACTATGTTGTGCAGGCTGCCCTTGGATTCGAGGCTATTCTCCTGCCTCAGCCTCCTAAATGCTGGCATTGCAGGTATATACCACCCACACCTGGCAAAAGAAACTTTTATAGTGCTCAATAAAGGGAAAAATTATTATTTTAATTATGCCCACATCTTTCTGGGCCCTTGCTCCCTCCTGGACAGGCCGCAGGAGTCCCAAGTCCCTCTGTAGCACCTTGGTGGCCTTCAGGCTCCCCTCTCCCCAGCTCCCCGCTATTACTGCTCAGGGAAACTGGAAACACTCCTGGAATAATGTCCTCAAACAATAGACCCGGGCTTCCTAGCCGGATGAAAATATTTACAGGATCACAAAAGCTGCCCCCCCCCCACAGCGGCCACAGGGAGCTTTGCCCACGCCACAAAGCCTTGGCTCTGTGTTCTATATTTATACCACCGACAGCCAGCCCTCCAATCCCTGTTTTTTTTAAGAAAGCAGGACCAGTCAGGTGTGGTGGTGCAGGCCTCTAATACCAGCATTTGAGAGGCTGAGACGGGCTGCTATGAGTTCAAGGCCAGCCCAGACTACAAAGCACCCCTGTCTCAAGAAAACAAAACAATTTAATTTAATCTTTCAAAGGGCCAACTCTTCAATTCATTGACTCTTTGTATTGTTTTCTTAGTCTCAATTACATTAATTTCTGCTCTAATCTTTATAATGTTCCCTCTCAAAGGAGTTCTGGGCTTGACTTACTCTTTTTCTAGAAATCAGGGGTTCAACCTCAGGTTATTTGGGTTCATGGATATGGCTCAGCAGCACAGCGCCTGCCTGGCAAGCTCGAGGTTCTGAGTTCAATTCCCAGTGCCAAAAACAAACAAACAAAAAAACAGTCTGTTGTTTACCTGAACTCACTCTGTTTTCCTGATACAGGTATTCACCACCACAAATTTCTCTGTCAGGACTGCTTTCACTGTGTCCCACAAGTTCCAGTGTGTTACATTTTGGCACAGCTGTTTAATTGTAGAAACTAATTCTCTTTTTTTGGCATCAGAAATTAAACTCAGGACCTTGCACCTGCCATGCAGATACTTTGTGCCCCTGAGCTACATCCCCGGTCCCTAATTTCTTCTTTAATTCCATTTGTGATCCACTGGTTGTCCAGGAGGGTGCTATTTAATTTCCATGTATTTATGGAGTTCTCATGGTTTCTTCTGCTGTTGATTTCCAGTTTCATTGCACTGTAGTCTGATGGTATGCATGGGATAATTTCAATTCCTTTGCATTTTCTTAAGCATGTTCTACGGGCTAGTATGTGGTCTGTTTTGGAGCACGCCTCATGTGCATTTGTGATGAATGTGTATTCGGATGCGGGGTGGATCACTGCAGACATCTACCAAGTCCACCGATTCACAGGTTCGGTTCAGTTTTGCTGTTTCCTTATTTTTTGTCTAGTTGATCTATTTGTGACAGTGGGGTACATGGCAGCTGTGTTGGTGCTTACTTGATTTTTCATGTCCATTACTATCTGTCCTATATAGTTCGGTATGTCGGTATTTGCTACCTATATATTTCTGATCCTTGTCTCTTCCTCTTAGGAGTTTTCCCTTAACAAGCATGTAGTGACCTTATCTGTCTCATCTGATCAGTCTTGGCTTGAAGTTTCTTCCTGAAAGAATTCAAAGCATCACCCAAGCATGGTGGAGCATGCCTGTATCCAAACAACTTGGGAGGCTGAGGCAGGAGAATCACACTGCCAGCCTGGGCTCCATCATGAACTCAAGGCCAACCTATGCTACACAGCAAGGCCCTGTCTTAAAAAGAATAAAATATATCAATAAAACTTAATGTGTTAAAAAAAAAAAAAGTCAGGACAAGGGGTTGGGGATTTAGCTCGGCGGCATAAGCGCCTGCCTTGCAAGAGTGCAGTCATGAGTTCAATCCCTGATACCGATTTTTAAAAAAGGCAGAAAAAGAAAAGAAAGCCAACCGGATACCTCCTCATAAAGCCCCCGCCCCGCCCCAGTCCGGCCTCCTCGGCTCCGAGCTCCTGGACCCAGGGCAGGGGCGGCCCACGGGCAGCCCAGCAGCAGCAGCAGCAGCAGCTCCAGGCCGGCTCTCCCGCCGCCTGGCTGCCCGTGTGGGTGTATTTTTAGGCCTGTCAATGACAGCATCGTGTCTGCAGCTGCAGCCCCGCGGGGGCGGGACGGAAGCAAGTGGAACCGGCGGTCCAGACTGTAGACATGCGGGGCTCCCCTGCCGACCCTGCCACCCACCCCGGGACCTAGGGCAGCGACTCCCCGCTGGCCTCAGTGAGCCCCGGGCGGCTCAGGCAGCAGGAACAACTTCGGCCAAGCCAGGGCCGCTCTCTGCCTTCCTCTTCCTGGTGCTGTTACCGCTGCCACCGTACCTGGTTCTATTTCCACTACTGTTTCTAATACCAATGTTTCTTCTCCCATGATTCCTATTGTATTGCTATGGTGACTTCACACCGTGCTGGGCAGTTCCTTCTCCTTCTTTCACTTATCATTCTTTCCAGGACTGTGGATTGAACCCAGGCCTTCACACATCCCCTATCCCTTTTGGGGTCAGGGTCTTGCTGAATTGGCCAGACTGGGCTTGAACTTGAATCCTCCTGCCTTAGCCTCCCAAGTGCAACATAGCACCTGGCACGATCAGTTTCACATGTGGCAAAATGGGACCAACATCTCGCTTTTCAAGGACCGTAGGTGTTGACATCTGACTTCTGTAACCCACAGGGGACCCCAGGATGGTCAAAGGTAAGTCTCACACAGAGGAAATGCTTAGCTGGTCCCCACTTGGCTCAGCTGGCTGTGACTGGGCTTCTCCCACAGGAGCACCTCTGCTCTCTGTTGTCCCAGGGCTAGGAGGTTGCCATGACAACAGGGAAGATGCTTTTACCAGATCCAAAAATCAAAGGATGTTGTGGAAGACCTGGACACACGGCCCTGACCGTGGCCCTCTGGGCAGGTCCGGGGAGGTGGGGTGGCCACTGCACAGAAGGTGCCAGGCTAGAAACTGGAACCCAGTACAGACTGCCTCCCCGTGTGTTGTCAGCCTGGGATCAGTACTGGGCCTCTGCACGTGCCATCCCCAGTCTGCCACTCTCTTCTACCCTTTCTCCCAGGAATCCCTCTTGTGCCACCCCATGAGGTGTCACCCTGAGTATCTGCAGAGCCACCAAAAGGCCCTGTGACCCGAGCACCTGACCCAACACAGTCAACAGAGTCATCCCCAAAGCTTCCCTGCAGAGACTCTGGGTGTCACTCCTAACCCTGCTGGGTAAGGACCTCCTACCCACCCTTGACCATGTTCGTGACACCCAGCCCAAAGGGCCCTGCTTTGATTCCTGCCCGATATGGCCACTCACAGGTCAATAAGTCCAATGGATGTGTGCATGTGAACAAAGCCAAGCCTGTGAAGCTCTGTGAAACCTCCACCTCCTCAAGGCTGCTAATCTTTCTGCAGCCTGTGACCCTGCTTCCCTCTACAAGCCGTTTCACAGACAGAGAAACTTGAGGCTCGGCAAGGTGACCCCACTTGTCTGAGGTTATTCACTAAGTGAGGATTGGTCCCCCTCCTTTTTATCTTTTGGTTTTTTAAAGATAGGGTCTTGCTATATAGCCCAAATTGGCCTCAAACTCACAGCAATCCTCCTGCCTCAGCCTCCTGAGTGCTGGGATTATAGGCATGTACTATCCTACTCAGCAATTTAAACCTCCTCCATCCTCCCTGCTTCCCCCGGCCACATGCCATTTGTCTACTCTGATTTCCACCTGGCCCCAGGAGGAAGACCCATGAGTCTGTGAGAAGACTGAGGCGTGGGGTCCAGTTCAGTGCCCAAGCCACCAGCTGATGACAGCATCTGAACCCAGGGCCCCAAGTGTTTTTCCAGGGAGACCACAAGGTCTGAGAAGGTAGCTCTGGAGCCTGGCTGAGGAAGAGGCTCTGATCCACCTCTGTGGTACCATCTCAATCAGGTACCGAGCACAGGGTTCCCCGGGAGACCCAGACAGCTGCTGGGGACCAGCAAGGACCGTGGGGAGGGGAGGGACGGTAAGCAAGGGCCCCACAAATCCCAGAAGTTCAGCCACAGCCCAGCAAGGTGGCGCACACCTGTGACCCCAGCATTCAGGAGGCTGAGGCAGAAGGATTGCTGTGAGTTTGAGGCCGACCTGAACTACATAGTGAGCCGCTAACGAACTAGCACCACCAATAGCAGTGGCCCGGCCAACCTACTTCGCAGGGAGAGGATCAAGTCAACCAGATCCCCCAGAGGGAAGTGGAGAGTTTTCAGACAGCATGCACCAGCCAGGAGTACACAGCTACGGTGCCATGGCTCAAACAGAACTTCCGGGGCTGCCAGCAGCCCTGCACTGTGCCCTGGGGAGCGAAGGATAGCACCTCCCCTGAGTGCTCAGACAGGACCTCGCAGCCTTACCCACACCCTGGTTTCCACTCCGCCTCTGCACCCCCACCCCACCTTCAGGCCAACTGAAGCCTTCCCAGAAGGCTTTGTGCGCCCACCCTGAGGCTAGCCTGGCGCAGGCACTTCCCACCCTTTACTCAGTATTTCTTGGGCAAACAATCCTACCCGCTAATGATGGGATCATGACAAGCCTGAGGATGGTGGCAGGGTCACCCAACACCCACCAGCATCTACCCTGCTCTCCAGGCAGTTTCACTCTGGGAAGGAGCTGTTCTCAGCCCATTCAACAGATGAGTAAACTGAGGCTCCTCCAGGAAGAGCTCGTCTCAAATCCAGGGCAGTCAGGACTCCACAGCCCTGGATCATACATCAACTCTTAGAGACTGTCAGGACCACAGAGGGAAACTGAGGCCCAGAGAAGTAAAGTGCAAGGCCAGGCAGCAACAGAGCCCAGCCGAAAACATCCCCCATTCCCACACGAGCACCCCTCACCTTGCGCCAAAGCAGCTGTGCCTGCGGCATCCCGGTGCCCTCAATCTCGTGGCGCATGCTGTTAAAAAGTGCGACGCCATACTGGTCCTCGTAGAACTGGACGAACTCCCGCAGGATCTTCTCAGTTTTCTCTGCAGAGGAAACATGGGTAGGAGGTCAGGTTGTCATGGATACCTAGGGCCAAGCATCCAGAGCACCTGCACCTGCCTGGCTCACATCTTTGCTGCGGGGCTTGCACCACACTGCCGATGTAGCCCACGGTGGGCTGGAGCCCAGGGTGCAGGAGGCTGATGCCCAAGCCCCATCCCGCCCAGTGACACACAAAGTCTGTCCAGTCCACCACCCATAGAGAGGGGACCCTGGGGCTGGGGATTTAGCTCAGCGGCATAAGCGCCTGCCTTGCAAGCAGGCAGTCCTGAGTTTGATCCCTGGTACCGATATAAAGGAAAAAGACAAAAAATAAAATAAAAAAAGAGGTGACCCTGCAGACAGGAGGCGGGCAGTGGCCTCACTCAGAGGACTCTCAAACCCAGCAGCACCATGAGAGACCCTCTGCTTTGACAGTAACCAAAACCACAGCCACCAAGCAAGACTACATGTCCACAGGTCAGTGACAAGGATAAGGATCCGGAAGGCTGAAGCAGGAGAACTGGGTGAGTTCAAGGCCAGCTTGGGATACACAGTGAGTTCAAGACCAGCCTGAGCTACATAGCAAGATTTTATCTCAAAATAAAAACACAAATACAAAATCTCTACAGAGACACCAAACAAAGGGAAGGGGGCAGCGGCCAGTTACAGAACCCGGTGTTATGTAGCCTCTCATTTACAAAGCCCAGGCCTGTCTGTGCACACATGTGAAACCACTTCTGGTCGCATACTTAGAAGGAAATACGGAGCAGGCAAGGTGGGACATGCCTGTAACTTCAGCACTCGGGAGGCTGAGGCAGGAGGGTTACTGTGAGCTTGAGACAAGCTGCTGTCTCAGAAACAAAACAAGAAGGCAGCAGGCCTGGCTGTGAAGGTCAGGGCCTTGGGTGAGGGCCTGGAGAGTGGAGAATAAACTGCACGTCCTGCTTACTTCACTTTTATAGCAGAGTTACTTTATAAGCACAGTTTCTTTCATAATAAAAAAATAAACATCCAGCCCTGCATTTGATTCCCAGCAATGAAAAAAAGTAAAGAAGAAAATATTCAAATATCCATTCCCAGCTGGGTATGGTGGCACACACCTGGTAACCCCAGCACTGTGGGAAGCTGAGGCAGGAGAGCTACAAGTTTAAGTCCAGCATGGGCCACACTACAGTTATCAAGACCCTGTCTCAAAACAAGACAAGAACGGCTGGGAACGTGGCTCAGTGCAAAAGTCCTAGGTTCAATCCCTAGGACTGGGGGTAAAAATTATCAAGTTAACCACCCCTTGCTTTCACCGGCTGTTTTCTTCTGTCTTTTGCTAATGGGGTCTTGGAACAGAGGGACAAAGACCCCCAGGACACATGGCAGAAGAGGCCCCATACACAGATGGAGAAACTGAGGCCCAGGGAGGCTACACCACTAGGCCAAGGCCACACAGCCAGCAGGTACAGAGCTGGGCACCAGCCTGGGGGACTGGGGGTTTGAGCACACGCCACACTCAGGGTCCTGGGCTGTGACCGTGCTTTGGGGGGGGCCTTTCCTGGAATGAGATCACGTTGTCCAGATTCCGATTTGGGGAGAGGAGGGGAGAACAAATGGGGAACGTGCTTTGAAGCCCTGTTTTTAAAAACCATAAACAGCCTGAGACCTTGGGAATTGTTTCGAAAGATGCTGAGGCCAGGGAGAGGGCAGGGGAAGCAGAGAGGGAAATGGGGGCGATGGAGAAAGGAGGGGCCTGGCCGACAGAGAGGGCACAGTCAGTCCACCCTCCTCCCCCTCCTCCTCTTCCTCCTCCTCCTCTTCTCTTGTTTTTTCCTATGGTGCCAGGGATTCACCCCCAAGGCCTTCACACTGAGTTACTCTTTTTAATTTTTCACTTTGCATCTGGCTAAACTACTCAGAATACACTGAAACTTCCAACCCTCCTGCCTCAGCCTCCTGAGAAGCTAGGACTATAGGCATGTGCTCTCACACCTGGCTTTGCGGTTGGGCGAGTTTTATGCCCTCACCCCAAAGGATCTCCCTGAGGCCCTGGGGACTCAGAGCCATGTTGTCCTTTGTCAGAGAGGAGGAGGCTGTGCACCTAGTGTTCTCACTGCCCGGCTGGGTCCTGACTGGCAGCAGCCAGCAGAGGCCACACCTCCAACACAGCCAGCAGGGTGGATGGGCTCAGGGTTGGGGATCTGGAGACCGCAGTCCAGGCCTGAGGAGGACACTGTTCCAGGAAAGCCTGGAAGCTGCCACCCCAGCAAAGTCTTGAACCCCAGTCTGCTCAACGTAGCAGCTCTCAGCCACCCGCTGACTCAGGCATTCACGAGGGTCCCAGGCTGCACTGGGAAGGGGACAGTAACCCCATGAAACCCAGAACAAGCTACAGCAGCTACAATCCCAACTTTACACCACAGCAATACAGGCTGCCTTGCTCTGGGGAGTCAGAAACTACACAGGGCAGGCTTGATGTCTTCTGTTTTTGAGACTGGGTCTCACTATATACTTTAGGCTGCCTTTGAGTTCACTATGTAGCTCAGGCTCACCCTAAACTTGTGGCGATCCTCCTGCCTCAGCCTCCTGAGTGCTGGGATTCGTATCTCTGGGGATGGCAATGTGAACCTCCCTGTCCAGCCTTGCTCTCTGAACTGCTTCTGTTCACCACTGGACTCCCCAAATAGTTCCTGAGCAAGGGTGAGGCATGGCCAAGGGTGGCATAGGACATTGGAGGGGTGCTGGGGGACAGCCAGCAGTGCCCAGGAACTAGGTTCACCCCACAAGTTCTTCAGCCCAGGCAGAACTGGAAGGGAACACAGTGGGGGCCCAGGTCACAAATGGCTTCTTAACAGAGGAAGCTCCAGGCATGTTCTTGAGAGATAAACTAGCTGGATGAGGTACCTATAAGCTCAGCGCTCTGGGAAGCTGAGGCAGGAGGATCCCAAGTTAGATCCATGTTGCCTGGAAGGGGATAGCCACCCAAGCCAGAGAAACACGGGGGATGAGGACTTGGGGGGTGGTGCCATGAGGGGCAGTGGGGATCCAGCCTGGGGCTGCAGTTCAGCCAAGGAGGACATGTGGACCTGCATGCTGAGGCACGGCCCCCTCATCTTGGGGTTTCCCACAGCCCCCAGCTGTACAGTGCTCAGCACCCAAATCCTTCCCTTCTGGCCACCCCGTAGCAGCTGGCGGCGGATCTCAGGTGTCTGTGGGTGGCCCTGGTGCCTGGGGCGCCCGTCTACCCTCCACTCCCGCCCACGCCAGCTCTTTCTGTTTCCTCCCAACCTCTGCAGACAGCAGATAGAGATTCTGAAACCCAGGCTCAGCCCCTAGAGTGGGACTCTGAACCGGTGAGGGTGAAGGGCTCACCTGAGGTCACACAGCCAGGCATAGGGGGTTCCTAGGGCCCCCTCCGGCCTCCCAGTGAGGAGCGGCTATAGGGTCCCAGCCCTGAAAGCGCCAGGCTGTGAAATAGGCATCACAGACCCTCTCACAGTCCCGTGGGCTGAGGACTGCTGTGCTGGGCTCAGCCCATAAATGTTACCACAGCAGTAACAATACACAGCCTCGCTCGCTGCGGGAGGGGTGGCCTGAGATGTTTATTAGCAGGTATAATTTTATAGCTTGAAAAGAATGCAATAAATTTTTTTCCCCTAAAGAACCAAGACAAGAATTGCAAGATAACGACAATCTTCCAAAAAGATTGGACAAAGAGAAAACCTGCCACAAAGGGGAGGGAGAGAGGGAAAGCAGGACCACCTGCACCTGCATGCTATGTCAAGTGTGAGCTGCATGGAACACCCAGGAAGCTAGGATCCCCCCGCCCACTAGGGCTGGGCCCTCTTTGCCGAAAAATCCTCAGAATCAGGACACACGCTTACCCATCCTCTGCCCCAGCATGCACACCAAGACTCTTCAAATGGCCCCAGAGAGGAGAAAATAAAAATGTTGCACTTTACAGGTGCAAAATCCAAGGCTTGGAAGAAGCTGGGTGTGAGCACTCAGGAGGCCGAGGCAGGAGGACTGCCCAAGTTCAAGGACAGGCTGAGCTACATAGTGAGTTCAGGACCAGCCTGAACTACACAGTGAGACCCTGTCTCAAAAACAAAAATTCACCACTTGTGACAGCCTTGGGCTGGGGATGTAGCTCAGGAGCACACACTTGCCCAGCATGTGTGAGGCCCTGCATTCTATTTCCAGCACCAGGGAAGAAAAAAATGCCACTGAGCTCTCTGGAGCTCTCACTGTGCTGCCGGGCCCTGCCCCGTCCTTAGCAGCCGCGTCGGCTGGAACCCTGAGCAGGGATGAGTGGGGCCACTGTCCCTGGGCCTCTGCCCCCATGTCACAGCTGCATGAGGGCCAAGGCACCTCGAGTGTGCGCACATACACATCACACACACTCAAATGGGGGTGTTTCTGAGCCACGAGCCGCACCTTTCTGGGATCTTAACCCCACTCCATGGGGCAGGAGCACGAGGTTGAGTTTGATTCTCAATACAAAAAAAATTAACCCCACTCCATGGATCTTAATGCAGGTGGGACCCCATCTCCAAGAGCGGCACTCATTGGGGGTGACCCTGAAGAAACCCCCAAACTCTAGCCCCAGAGTTCCAGCTCCCACCCACTAAGAAGCTACAGTGTGCTGGGCAGCCTCGTTACCCCACCCAGGGAGAAGCCAGCTGAGATTGGGGAGACACCAGCGGCTTCCTCACAGGCACACAGCCCGGAAGGGGAAAGAAGTGGGTTTTTTGTTTCTTTGTTTCGCTTTGGTTTTTGAGACAGGGTTTCACCATATGGTTCAGGCTGGCCTCAAACTCATAGCAACCCTCCCGCCTCAGCCTCCTGAGTGCTGGAATTATAGGTGTGCACCACCATGCCCAGCAAAAAGTGAGATTTGAACCATGATCCTGTCCAGAGCCCACCCCATAAGCTCCCCACCCCAGCACTGGGCCACAGTAATTCTAAAAAGCTCTGATTTTTCTTCTTTTGGGGATCCTGCTCAGCGGCCATGGGA